GCCCCTTGGCAGTAATCCCCCCCAGATGCTCAGCAGCCCCCCCAGCCCCTTGGGGACATGCCCCCAGACGTTCAGCCCACCTGCTATTGGAAATCAAGGGAGGACCTTAAGCAATGTGGCAGGATTTTTATCTTCCCCCTCCCTTCTCCTCCTTCTCCTCTAGGTCCGTGCCTTCCACCACGCCTTCAGCACCAACGACTGCTCGCGGAACGTCTACATCAAGAAGAACGGCTTCACGCTGCACCGCAACCCCATCGCCCAGAGCACGGACGGGGCGCGGACCAAGATCGGCTTCAGCGAGGGCCGCCATGCCTGGGAGGTGTGGTGGGAGGGCCCGCTGGGCACCGTCGCCGTCATCGGCATCGCCACGAAGCGGGCGGCCATGCAGTGCCAGGGTTACGTGGCCCTGCTGGGGAGCGACGACCAGAGTTGGGGCTGGAACCTGGTGGACAATAACTTGCTGCATAACGGGGAGGTGAACGGCAGTTTCCCCCAGTGCAATAACGCGCCCAAATACCAGGTGAGCGGGGCTTGGCTCGGGTTGGAAGCTCCACCACGTCTGATGGTGGCCGTCAAGAACCTCCTCCCTCGTGTGTCTTCATTGTCTGCTGAATTGGTCCTAAATGCCCACCTAAAGGTCTCTCTGCCTTCCCTGCAGAAGGCAGATGATTCTGCCTTGTGAGCCTTTTCCCCCTTCATTTATTGCTTCCTCAGGCTACCCCTGTGTGTGGTGTTCAGCACACCTGACCCTCCGTTGTTTCTCCACTTTCATTTCAAATATTGAATGTGAAGCATGTTCCATGGATGTCTGTTTAGACCCCATCTTGCTTTTTTGAAAGAAGAGCTGAAAAGACTGTTGTAGCCTTCTGAAGCAGTGACTCGCCCCACAGCGAGGTGAACGTCTGTGGTATTTTACCCTCTTGTGTGAGGGTGGTGGTGTGAGCTGAGGTTAATGCTTAGGCAAGAGCCTTCCTGCAAAAACCTGCAGCAGCGCTGAGTGCTGCTCCCTTGTTCGCTGGCAGCGTTCCCGTAGGTGACATCCCTTGGCTGGGATACCGAGATGTGATGTTCAGATCATTTCAGGTTATTAAAGAGCGAGGGCCGTTCCACCTTTTTGTCCCTGTAGAAGAGTTTGTCTCTGTTCTGCTGACTGCTCGCACAGCTCCGTTTTGACTGCTGGGTTTCCTCGCGTTATAACTTAAGCTGTGTGCATTATAATTTCCATAGTGTGATGCCCTGGCTTTGTGTGACTCTTGGCTTACGTTTCAGTTGCAGGTGAAGGTCTGTGTAGTAACTTGCATCTGATGTTCCTAAATTTCAAGAAACAGTTGACCGCCAAGCACTTGATTCTGAAGGTTATACCTGCCGGTTTTTGGAAATAATACCTAAAATTAGTGTAATTAAAGAGATTTAGATTTCTTTCCATTGGCATGTTCCCTAGCACAGCACTTTCCAGACCTGACCCTTGGCGGTCGCTTTCTGCTGTCCTTGTCTGGGCCTTGCTGCGGCAGCAGGGTGAGGAAAGGTTTTGAAGCTGTGAGTCTGCAGCTCGCGTGGGGGCTCCGGGGTGAATGCTGTCACTGCTTCCTCTGCGGAGACAGGCGAGAGCTCAAGTTGGTGATCCTTTGGAGTATTTTGTGTTTAGTAAGGCATGTGCGGTGATCCGCTCATAGGAAATAGACTTGAAGGAAACCCATGTGTTTGTTGGTGTTGGTGAGAATGAAAATGTGTTGGCTGGAAGAAATCCCCAGCGTTGGGGCTGGCTGGAGAAGAATTAGGAGTTTGTGTGGTGTCCTGCTGTGCTTGTTGCTGGTGCCCACGACTTCAGGCTATGTCTAAAATAATGTGCACTTCAGACACAGACATGTGTGAGCGCTGTGCGTGCCCAGGTCTGAGTCTCTTGCTGTCTTTAGTGTTGGTTTTGGGTGTGTGTGTATATATATATATTTTAAAAAAAAAAAAAGTTTTTTCATGCTTGTTTTACCTAAGCTTTGAACTGGCATTTCCTTCCACCTTGGTGAGGGAATACCTCTGTCAGCGGCAGCACCTGCGTAGGCAGCAGCGTATTCCAGTGTATTTTTTATGTGGCACTTGCCGTTTTAAGGCAAGTTTATTGTCTTTAAAATTGCTCCTCACAGAGCCATTACTCCTCGGCAATGGCAACAGCTAAATACGGATTTCAGGTAACTTGGAGGCCATTACAAACTTTCCAAAACCCTGCAGTATTCTGAAGTATGTGGCATGTGGTATTCTCACTCTTTGTGCCCTTGCAGGGTTCATATGAGGAGGATTACATTTATTATTGTGTTAGGTATATACTGCCCACTGGACATGGGCAGCAGAGGTACTTGGGGTCCTCATGCGTTTGAGCAAAACTGAGAAAATCCCACCGTAAAATAAATGCAGTCACAAGAGACAGGAAAGCCTTGTGTTAGAATTAAATTGTCTGCTGTGTTCTACATGGGCTGTATTTTATTTTTCTCTCTCCGTTTGAATGTGCTGACTCTTTCTCTGTATTTTTTTTTTTTTTTAATTCCCTTCTCCTGTCTCTGTTTCCAGATAGGTGAAAGGATTCGAGTTATCCTGGACATGGAAGACAAAACATTAGCATTTGAGAGGGGCTATGAGTTCTTGGGAGTTGCCTTCAGAGGACTGCCAAAAGTTTGCCTGTATCCGGCAGTGTCTGCTGTGTACGGTAACACAGAAGTGACTTTGGTCTACCTGGGAAAACCTCTGGACGGATGACGTGGATTGTTCCACTGGGACATGGAGACGTGGATGATCGGGAGGAGAAATCTGCATGTTGGTTAGAGGGAAACATGTTTTAGAGGAAAAACAAGAAGGCGTGGGTGTGTGTCCGAGAACCATCAAGGGAATCACACAGAGTTTGGAAACGGAGGACCAGCCATACTTCAGGAATTGTCTTACATTTCCTCTTTCTACCAGGCCAGAAAAATCCTCAGGGTTGCAGTTGGTTGAGTGGGAAGCTGACACATGCATGTTGCAACAGATTTCATAGCTAAGGTGGCAGTGCGTGACCTCAAATATTTAAGAAAAGATTTGATAGAAAACTGCTTGAGGAAATTAACCTGAGATTTGTAAGTGGCGTGTTTTGTGAAAGACTCCCATTTTAAAACTGCTTGTTCCTTCCCTTCCCTCCTTCGGGCCAAAGCGGGTACCGGGGGAGAGCGAGTCTGGTTGGGTTTTATTTACAATTTTTAACATACTGAGAAGCATGGTCTGTCTGGACTGCCCTTCTCTAGTATAATGATACAAAATGTGTGCAGCTATTTTTAAGTGTATTTTAAGGGTTGTATATATAGAACACGTTGAAAAGAACAGTTAAAAGAAAGGGTTTGCTTTATTCTAACTGGGATATAATTTCTTGAAGGGGAAAAAACCCACCCATGGCGTGGCATCAGAAAATATACCTCGGACAGGTATATGACATTCATGTAAGTGTTCTTCTTCTGTTGTATTGTAAAGCATTTTGGGATGCTCTTGTGGAGTATGGTGCTGCATTGGGTCATTTTCTGTGGAAGTTTCCATAGCTTTAGCATCAGTTTTGTTCTCTGTAGGAAATGCAAAATGTTTTCCCCCCATGTTTCCTTTTGGCCAAAATTTGCGAACCCCTTTAGGAAAGGGAGGTGTGACACAGTGGTGAGCTTGTCTTCCTTTCCGCAGTAAAAATACTAACTTTTACAGCATTCTTAGGCTTTCTAATCACTGTTGCAAAATGTTTCAAACTAATGAAGAAGCAGCATTCAGTTTCTGAACCCAGAACTCGTGTTCAGCTTAAATGGCTTTAGGAGGCTTTCAGACTTGGCTGAACCTTCTTTAATTAAATAAAATCCCCCAGTACCCGAGTGCTCGCCTGCCCGTTTTCAGTCAGGCCAAGTAAGGCTCTTGCCAACCCTTTGATGGGGATTCTGGATCAGGTTCCATGTTCGGGCTTTTCATTTGCACCTTTTTTCTAAAAAAACATGTCCCAACCCCCCCGTGGCGTGCGGGTGCTGGCGTAGGCCGGCCAACGCCGAGAGGTGTGGTGAGGAGGGGCTTTCTGGTGAAACCCCTTTCCTCTGAGGTGGAAAGGTCTGTAGGGAGCCCCAGAAGGGCTCCTTTTACCCAGGGGGGGCACTCAAATCTGTAAGCCCTGTGGCTCTTGACTCTGTATTTTTGTCGGTTGGTGTTTCCCAGAGCCGTATGAACGATTTCAGAATCGGGCGTGCTTTTCAGAGAGGGAGAAGGAAATGTTTGTACAACCTCTTTCTGCTTTATTTGCGCAAGAGAATGTGAATTGCTTAATATCGGACGCTGGCAATTCTCTGAGGGTGGAAGAGAGAGGAATTCCTCTTGGGCTGTTGCTTGCTTTTCCCTCCCGTTACTCGAGGGGTGCGAGCCGGTGAGTGAGGCTGCCGAAGAGCGACCCATGGAGCGCTTTTTACCTAGTAGATAACCAAGTTCTGCCCTGGAACAGAGCACGTATGCTATTACCATTTAAAGAGATGTAAAAGTATTTATTTGTTTTGCGTGGTGTTTATTGCTTAAAGGCAATAGCGAGGTCTGTTCCTCTTGGCTGCGGTAAAGAAACAGAACAGGCAGTGAGAAATGAAGATGTTTTAAGTGGTGCTGAGAAGAACCGAATAAATGAAGTGGGACGGGCATACAAGTTCCTTTTGGGAGAATCTGTTACAAGCATTGATTGTGCTAACCTGTTAAGTATGTATCCGCATAGCAGAGCCGTGGGGCAGGAAGTGGGGAGAAGGGAACAAAACCCTGTCCGGTTCCAGACAATAAACTTGTCCCCAAGGTGAATGGATTCTGGGTGCAGTCCTGCCAGACGTGACCGCCGCGCTCGTTCGTGAATCCAATTAGATGCAAGTAAACCCTGAGAACTTCTGAGGAGTTTTGTTCACAAATTAAGATTGATTTCCGCTCTTCAAACTGCGTCTTACTCTATAAATAATTTCCCTCTAAATTGGAAACGCTGGAAGTTGAACATTCCTTAAGGGTGGGTTTTGCGGGGAGGGGGGGGACTCACTTATGTAAGATTATAACTTATTCCTGGAGACCGATGCTGGCTGTACAAAATATTAAAATAAACTCTGCTATAATTGAGAAGGAGGTATCGTGTGGACTGTTGTCATGGCCCTGCCCTGCCGCTCCACCCAGGCACCTCCTTCCCAGGCCACCTCTCTCTCTCTTTAGCTTTCCACGTGGAAGTTCTGTATTCCGTGGTGCTTTTGGGAAGAAGTAGGTGGTTTTTTAGGAATAAGTAGGAGACTGCGTTGTGATTGCGAGCTCTGAAGCGCTTTTCAAGCTCTCTGCATCAAGAATTAGCTTTGAAGTGGTGAACTTTCGGCTCTGGCGGCTTCTTCAGGAGCGAGGAGGTTTGACGGTGGCTCGCCAAAATATAGAATCACTTTTTGTAGACTGAGGTACTTCAGAGTCAGCGAAACAGATGTTTGAAGTGTTTTCCCTACCACGAGTAGTGATTTCCCTGCTTTGGTCCAGAGGAACATCAACTGTTCATAGCTCCCATAGCAGAAATCAGTCAGATCCACAGGTTTTGTCTTCAGAATCCCGTGGGATGTCTGTCATTTTTCAATAAGGGAGTGTTTTGTCTATCATCGTTTGACTAAAGCTCAGAATTTCATGTGGCTGTGAAATCTGTTAGGACCTTAAAAGTTGGTTGTGTGCTCTGGTCACACATCTGTGTCTGAGGAAGCAAAGAGCTTGATAATGGTTGTTTGTTTTGGGGGAGAGTCTGTCCTGGGCTTCGGTGGTGGCTCCTCGTGTCGGCCTGAAGTTGGTTGGGTGACGACTCTTTCCATCAGAGGATATAGGTTCTGCTGAAACAAACTAATAAGTCAAGATGGCATGTGGTGCTCACCCTGGTGGGGATATTTTCTTGAAAATGTCTGTTTCCTTCTTAAAACGCAGTGGTGAGCCTGCATTTTTGGGAGTCCTTTGTGTGCCTTCTACTGAGAAACACCACTTGGTTTTGTTCCTTTTGGCTGTGTTTTAGGTGACAGAAGTAGCCAGAAGCAGATGGCCTTGGTCCTGTGGGCTGAACTTCTGCTGCCTTGCAATGTGCCCTTGCGGCCAAGAAGGCCAAGGGCATCCTGGGGGGCATCAGGAAGAGTGTGAGCAGCAGGTGGAGGGAGGTCATCCTGCCCCTCTGCTCTGCCCTGGGGAGGCCCCATCTGGAGCACTGGGACCAGTTCTGGGCTCCCCAGTTCCAGAAGGAGAGGGAACTGCTGGAGAGGGGACAGCAGAGGGCTACAGAGATGATGAGGGGCCTGGAGCATCTCTCTGCTGAGGAGAGGCTGAGGGACTTGGGTCTTTTGAGTCTGGAGAAGAGAAGGCTGAGGGGGGATCTGATCAATGCCTGTAAATACTTAAAGGGTGGGTATCAGGAGGATGGGGCCAGTCTTTTTTCAGTGGTGCCCAGGGACAGGACAAGAGGAAATGGGCACAAACTTGAATGTAAGAAGTTCCACCTAAACACGAGGAGGAACTTCTTTCTTGGGAGGGTGGCAGAGCCCTGGCAGAGGCTGCCCAGGGAGGTGGTGGAGTCTCCTTCTCTGGAGACATTCAAACCCACCTGGACACGTTCCTGTGGGACCTGTTCTGGGTGGACCTGCTCTGGCAGGGGGTTGGACTGGGTGATCTCCAGAAGTCCCTTCCAACTTCATATCATTCTGTGATTCTCCTCTGTCTGCCACTGCCTCCAGCAGCTGGCAGGAAGGGATCAGCTTTTCTCTCCATTTACCGGTGATGGACATTTGTACATCTCCTCACCGTGTGGCTGGGTTTTCCAGATGGCTGCCTCTATTTAATTTTTTTTTTCCTCTTCCTCTTGCACTGGGATGACGACACCAGCGATGAATTAAAATAACGCTGCTCGGCCTGCTGTTAGTTTGATCAATGCAAACCCGATTTTCTCTGAGTATTTGAGACGTAACCGGTCCTTGGTGATTCCTAAAACCGTGTATTTCAATACTGATATTTCAGTTCTAGCTAAATCACATTATAAATAGCTCTGGCGCTGGCAGGAGCCCAGCTCTAAGCGCTGTGTGTGCTGCCGTTCTCCGGAACAGCGCCGGTTCTGGCACACCGCGGAGAATTCAGCAAAAGCTATAGGCAGAAAAATGGCATTGCTGAAACCTCTTCTAGGATCCCTTTTACTTTAAAAACCCAGTTTTAAAAATGGTTGGGAGTGTGATGTGTTTGATTTCTATCGGTGATGATAGTCCACCTCGCACTAAGGTATAATTCGGCTGAAAGGAAAATTAATTAAGTGGTAAATGAGTACAGGAAGCTTTTCCTGCAGTGATGCTGAACCTGCTAATTTTTACTGGAAGTGGCTTTTTTCTTACTGCTGTACGACGCTGTGTGTGTTGTGTGACTTCCCAATGAATTCTCTCTGCTCCCCACAAGAGGACAAAGCTAACAGTGCTGCCGGAGCCAAGACTTTGAATTTCCCAAACGTTGGGTAAAAAGAGATGTTTAATGTGGAAACCTTCTCCGTTGGCATTTGCTTCCTGTCCTCTTAAAAAAAAACAACCCAAACTAAAAAACCTCAACGTAAGAGATGATTGTGGAGAAGTGGGTAACAGACATAGAACTTTTTAAAAATATACTTCTTAATTTGAACCTTCGATCCTGAAGGCAAATCTTTGCAGGTCAAAAAATTTATGTTCAGCTGAGACTCCCAAGATCACCTTAAAAGACAGAAAGGGACTTGAGAGGCTCAGATGGAATGTCACCGCTGCCGTGGGCCGGGAGGACGTACCTGTGGTCAGTCACTTGTTGGTCTGCTTTTTCCCAGACTGGCTTTTCTTCCTTTCAGGGATTTATGACCAGGCAATAATGATATCGTCAAAAAAAAAAATAAATTAAATAAATTCTATTGCAGATGGAAAAAAAAACAACCCAACCCAACCTAATTGAAAAGGGATTTTAAATAGACCTCGTTGTATATTACAAGTGTTGTTTATTCTGTAATTTTACCAGCTTGAGAACCGAGAGTGTCTTTTTCCTTCCGTGCCTGCATTTGTGGATTTGTTGTGAACCACCTGGAGTTGTCTCATGTTTGCTTGATTTATTTTCTCTTTTTAATCCATATTGTTCTAGCTGTGATAAAAGCTATATCTGTAGCTTTTTGTATATTTATTCATATATAAATTTATATATAAGAGTGTGGCCAGCAGGTGGAGGGAGGTCATCCTGCCCCTCTGCTCTGCCCTGGGGAGGTCCCATCTGGAGCACTGGGACCAGTTCTGGGCTCCCCAGTTCCAGAAGGAGAGGGAACTGCTGGAGAGGGGACAGCAGAGGGCTACAGAGATGCTGAGGAGCCTGGAGCATCTCTCTGATGAGGAGAGGCTGAGGGACTTGGGTCTTTTGAGTCTGGAGAAGAGAAGACTGAGGGGGGGATCTGATCAACGCCTATAAATACTGAAAGGGTGGGTGTCAGGAGGATGGGGCCAGTCTTTTTTCAATGGTGCCCAGGGACAGGACAAGAGGGAATGGGCACAAACTTGAACATAAGAAGTTCCACCTAAACATGAGGAGGAACTTCTTTGCTGTGAGGGTGGCAGAGCCCTGGCAGAGGCTGCCCAGGGAGGGGGTGGAGTCTCCTTCTCTGGAGACATTCAAACCCACCTGGACACGTTCCTGTGGGACCTGTTCTGGGTGGCCCTGCTCTGGCAGGGGGGTTGGACTGGGTGATCTCCAGAGGTCCCTTCCAACACCATAGCATTCTGTGATTCTGTGAAGCTGAGTCAAAAGTTGAGGCAAGACAAAACCTGATCAGTAACAGGAAGCACAGACCTGTTTTCAAGCCAAGTAGGTGAGCACCTGCTGCGTGTGTCACCTCTCCCTTAGGCCCTCTGTCGCTCAGGAACATGTTAAATCTGCAAGCGAGCAGGATATGGGCTGTTCTCTGTCCACAAAACCTCCATGGTACCCGATTACATGCAACAAACTGCTGGATGCAGCTCCAGCTGCAAGAAGGACTTCGGTGAGTGGAGACTGAAAACCTGCGAGGGAGAAGTTCTTCTGTTCGTGAAGCATCCTACGTGTAGCAGTCAGCCATCTCCCATCCCTTTTGAGCAGGAATTGAAGGGAGCGTGCTCCACCAACTGCAATATGTGACTTCATAATCATGAAGCAGTGGACAAACCCGCCAGCGAGGAAATGGATGTTGACCAGTAATGCTTTTTGGATGATATTCTGAATGCTGCAGTGGTCACAGCCTTTCAGCCTCTTGCTGCTATTTCCAAATCAACACGTTTTTCTTTTTTTTCCTTGGCTTTTTTTTTTCTTGGTTGGTTTGTTTTTTGTGCTCAGGTGACAGAGAATGCTCTACTCCTGCTGGATCCCATCTGACATGGGGCAGCTGAGCCGGTCTGCAGGAGCATAGCTGGCGGGTGGCATCTCACGCTTTGGAAATGCCCAAGAGATTTTCCCTCAGCTTTAGGCTATGATTTTTGTCTTACTCTGGGAAAAATAGTTGATGTATGCAGCACTGGAGCAGAGTTGGAACAAACATTTCACGCTCTCAGTGCCATTAATATGGAAATAAGTTGTTTTTACGTGTCAACCTGTGGCCTGGTGGCCCCGGTGCTGTGTCTGTGCGTCTCTGGGCTGTGGCTGCTCTTCTCAGGAGGAGAATGGGCTACAGGAGGGAAAGGTCTGCTTCATCAATCCATGCATCTGCTTGGACTTTTCCCCCCCTCTGGCATTCCTGGGTTGATTCAGGTCTCAAATTGAAGGTGAAGGTCTGCCTTGAGTCTCTCCCAGGTACAGCTGTGGGAAAGAAGTTTCAGACACAGCAATGGTGTCACCTTCCTGTTAAAGTTTGTTTTAAAAAACAGAGAAACTTAGATCCTGGCAGGTTGGGTTCTTTTTTTTCTGTTTCCTTATGTGAGACCAAGGAGTGCAAGAGGAGTGCAAGACCCTGCAGAGTGGCTTTTCTTTGTCACATGTCCCACCAGTGTCATGCTAGAAAGGAGAGGATGCTGAGTCCCAGGGCTGAAGACCTGGGAAAGGAAGACTTTGGAGCATGAAGGCTCCGGCTTGTGTCCAGCCCTGACCCAAACCCACCTTGAGAAGAGCTGCTTGTGAGACAGCGCCGTGTCACCGGGCTGGTGGCTCTCCTGGCCAGAGGGGGAGGCCGGGTGGGATACGCTTCACTCTGTAAGGAGCTGAGAGAGTTTCACTTCCCTTCGCACTAATGACACAATTACTCACTTCTCTTAAGCAGAACAGCAGCAGGAAGGGAGTACGTGTGACTACAGATGGGAAGAGTTTTTCTTGCCGCAATTTGCATTGCTGAATGATGTCATGGCAATGACTTGTCCGTACCTTCTCCTTCTGGTGACTCAGAGCCTCCAGTCCTGACAGTTTTATGCTAAAAACTTTGGTGAATGTGCTGGAGTATATGGGCTGTGTGTTTTTAGTGCTTTTAATGGTTTATTTTCTGGTGGTGTGCAAAACTGAGATCCATTTATCCACGTGGCAACCCTGTGGGACAAACCTGGGCAATGCTTTCAGGTCTTGGTACAACCAAAGACCAAAGCTGTAGATCTAAGCAACTTGGTCGTGGGGCTTTCCAGCTCTTTGAGGGGATCTGGGAGGAAGGGTTGGTTGTCTTCTCTGCCTCCGGGTACTTGCTTCTCCTGCAGATGTGTTACAGGTAGTTCTCTAGAGCATCTGGACTTCCAGTAGCGTTTATCTCGGCCTGTGCCTCGTCAGGGAGCAGGTGCCCTTGGCTTGCAGTTGCTACAGAAATACAAGGCTCTGCTGCTTCAGCATCTGCTGCGTCCTGCTGCCTGCTCTGCTCCCAAGCCCTTGTGATCTGGATGCTCTGCTGCTCTCCAAGGAGGAGGTTCTTCGCTTGGTGGTGGTGGGCGCCCCGTGCAGACCTCAAAGCCCCGGCCTGGGAAGGGTGGGTGGGTGAAGGCTACGAGAGGCGGCAGGAGCGCGGCCGCAGGGTGGGCTCAGCCGCGTGTGCGGGCGAGCGGAGGGGGAAATGAGATCACTTCTGCGGCTCTCCCTGCTGCGGCCCGCTTCCTCCTCATTTACATCTCGCACGCTCTCAGAGCGGGGAGAAGGAAGAGCGGCGACCGCAGGGAGGGGGCTGCCTGCGGGAGGGGAACCGGGGCGCAGCCTCTCCCCCCGGCACGGGGGTCCGGGCAGTGGCTGTGGCCGAGCCACTGACCAGCTCCCCCCTTCCCTTCCCTTCCCTTCCCTTCCCTTCCCTTCCCTTCCCACACGGCGCCGCGCTCTCAGAAACACGGGGTTGCTTTCTACTAAGACCTATTTCTGCCTTCCTTCTGAGCCCCAGAGAGGATACTTGCACTTTTTTGAGACTAAGTGGTCAAAGGAGGGATCCTCTCTCAAAATGAACAGGTTGCCCAGAGAAGCTGTGGCTGCCCCATCCCTGGAGGGGTTCAAGGCCAGGTTGGAGGGGGCTTGGAGCAACCTGGTCTGGTGGGAGGTGTCCCTGCCCAGGGCAGGGGGGTTGGAACTCAATGATCTCCAAGGTCCCTTCTAACTCTAACCGTGCTATGATTCTAAAATTGCTGCTGTGGGGCTCCTGGTTGGTGTCTGTAGGTCCTCGGTCAAATGTCGTCCAAGCCCAAAGGTGTCACTTTTCTCAGTTGCTCCTGCTGGAAGCTCACCTGGGTCCCTGCAGTCTCATTGCACGTTGTCATTCCTGTGGGGTTATTTCCTTCCCCACCCCTGCCCGAGCTCACGCAGCCCCGATGTCTGCAGGTGTCAGCAACCTGCACCTCGCTCTGCTCAGAACAACACGGAATTGATTCTGCTCTCAGAGAAGTCATCTCTCTCCCCTCTTTCCCTCAGAAAACCTGGCAGGAGCTAGGAGTCTGCTGACGGCTGAAAATGGAGGAGCAGAGGTGAGCTGGGTTGTGGATAAATGGATAATGGTAGAGCAGGAGCCAGCCGGGAGCGTGGGCGGCTGCTGGCGAGGGAGCAGGAGCCCGGTGGCGGCGTCGGCTGCAGGAGGATGCTCTGGCTGGGGGGGTCACAGGCACACAAGCCGCTGCGAAACCAGAACCTGAAGCTTTATTTCAGTGAGCGATGCAAGTGCTAGCACGAGTCTTTCCCTGGAAGAAGGCTGAGCGTGGCCAGGTGTGAGGAACTGGACCTAACGCTAGGTAAACCAGCAGGCAGGCTGTTTGGCTACAGCTGGGGGGGGGGAGAAAAAAAAAAAAAAAAGATTTTGAAAGCTGATTATAAAATGCTCGGTTTTGTCTCTTGGTTTCCCCTGCAAGAAATACACTGGAGGGGAGCTGTGCTTCTTGCAGAGCTCCAGTTCAGCTGCAGCACTGGGGCTGTGGGGATGCCTGTGGACATTGATGCATCCCCACCGTTCTGGGATGGGGCATGTCCTTCATTATTCCCCAGAGGTAAACTGGGTGGATTCCCTTGGGAAATTCAGCCAGGTGAACCTCCAGAATTGTAGTTAAAAGTTGAGCTGTCCAGCTGGCCATTTTGCCTTTTGGCCACATAATGAATGATCTTTTTTCTTTCTTGTGTTCATAGTTCATCTTAAATTAGAAGCAACTGCTGCTACCAGCAGCCTCTGAGAGACCGTAGACTTTCAGCTTCCCTTGTTTTATCCAGAGCAGGTGATTAAATTAAATAACTTCTTCACTTGTGTCTTCTTGATACCTTTGTGCTGCCTGTGCACACTTCAGCCAAGCAGCAAATGAGAATTTGGTGTGGGTTTTAAAGATAAAATTTGGATTTTCTTTAATTTTCAGAGTCTTTGCTGACCACAGTGCCTGGGAATGAACGACTGGAGGGAGATGCTGGAGGAGCAGCCACTCCTCCCTTTCTGATGAGGTCCAACAGACGAGATGCTGCTGGCAACGGAGTGGTCGGTCAAGGCTATCTAATAATTTCAGTAACGCTTTTTGCAGTGTCCCACGAGCCTGGAGATCATGGTGTTTCTGTAGGTATTTATCTAAGCCTTCCCAGGCTTGTTTCCCAGAGCAGCAGGTTCTTCTTCCTGTCTCTTTCCCTTTGCAGGGCTGTTCTCTCTCTCCTTGTTGGGCAAAACACTGGTGACGGAGCAGAGCCAGAGGCTTTCCCGGGGACACTTTGTGCCATCGTGCCTTGTGGAACGACTTGTTTGATCCTCTCCAGTTCTCCATCGCAGTGGGAGCAGAAGCAGCCCATGGAGAAACATTTCTCTTTCGCTTTGCCTCGACTCATCCAAGACCGTGGTCCTGCTGGTGTGTGAACCGGGAGAGACCTTTCTCTTGGTGCTTCCATTCCGTAATAAATCATGTTTCCTGCAGGAAAACCAGGGGCACGCCAAGGCGCAGCGATGGGGGTGCTCTTTTCTGTTGCGGTTTCTCCTTTTCCCCTGGGTCCCGTGTTGGAGAAGCAGTCCTGGCGCGACCAGGGAGCTGCCCTCCCCTTGCAGCTTTTCTCTTGGTTTGTGTTCGAGGGGAAAAAGATGGTTTGGAGGGAAGAGGAGGTGGGAGGAATGGAGGAAGGTCACCGGGTAAAGCATATGGGGATTCCTGGTCCTCTCCTACAGCTGCAGGAATTGCAGCTGCGTGTGTGGACATTGCTCCAAGAGGCTGAATCTCCTTCAATTTAACCCACCTGTGCCACTGAGCTGGGTTGGAGCTTCATGAAGAGCTGATCAGAGCAGCAGCTCGATCCCTATCCATTTTACTGTGCTGATATTAAAAAATAAATAAAACCCCCTCAAAGCGCACATCCAGTCCTTACTGGGAGGGCTGGGCGGGGGCATGATGCTGCTTGAGAGGAAGAGGAGGGGAGCAAGCAGCAGCTTTGGGACGTTTTCAGAAACCATCTGGCTGCAGGATGTGGGGAAAGTGTGAAAAGCGACGCTGCTGCCAGCTGCCCCAGCACGGAGCCAGCGGCCGCTCTGCGGGGACCAGCCCCGGTGTGTGGCTGCTTGCCAGGCAGGACAGGGTGGCCAAAATGTGGCTGGGTGGTGGTGGGGCTCACCCACCCCACAGTGCCCCATCAGCGAGCACCTTCCCTGCTGGGGAAAGAGGGTTACACAGGCTTGGCTTTGATCACTAAAGCAACAGGCTGGGGATGAAGCAGAGGATGAAACAGGGGATGAAGCACGTTGTTTTCTTTCCCAGCTCCTCCTGGGCTGCAGGGAGGAAGCTGGTTTGACCCCTGGGACATCACCTCATTTGGTGGCAGCACAGGAAGGAATCTCATGGGAAGTTCTCCCAGGAGCCTCCAGATTTCCCCAGGGTGGAGCATTGCTGCAGGGGAGGATGCTCGAGCTTTACTGTCTCAGGACTTCCCAGCCCTGGGGCAAATTTCTGCCAGCTCCTGTGTCTCCAAGCATCAGATCATAGAATCTTGGAATCATTCAGGTTGGAAAAGACCCTTGGGATTATCCAGTCCAATCATCAGCCCTACTCTACAAAGTTCTCCCCTACACCATATCCCCCAACACCGCATCTAAACGTCCCTTAAACACATCCAGGGATGGGGACTCAACCCCCTCCCTGGGCAGCCCGTTCCAGTTTCTGACCACTCTTTCTGCGAAGAATTGTTTCCTAATGTCCAGTCTGAACCTACCCTGTTGCAGCTTGAAGCCATAAAGTGGTTTTGGTGTGGGTTGGGCTCGTGGCAGGGTTTTGGGGCTGAGGAGGGGTTTTGTAATCACCGGCCAGTCTCAGCTCTTCGTGTGACCTCGAGCAGCACCATGGGAATTTTGCCCGAGCTGCAGAGCTTCTGCCATCTGCTCCACTTCGCTTGGGTGAGGAGCGCTTCTCTCTTTTCCTTCTTGATTTTTATACTTCAAACTTCCTTGAAAATGGAGGAAATGAAACCACAGGGCTTTTCCGTGAGTGACATGGGAGAGCTCAGTCCCCGTCCAGAGAAGAAATGAAATTTAGGGTGAAGGCAGAAACTCCTTTGTGGTGGCTGCAGGAGTTTGGGAGCCACTTGGCCTGGCAGGTGGGGGTGACCCAGGTTGTGATGTCCTTTGGCTCTTGGCCTGCTCCAGTAACACGGTTCATCTCCCAACTGCTGCAGAAGGTCCTGTTGGTGCCTGGGACGAGGAGCATGGATGTTACCAGGTGGTACCTGCAGATCCCACTGGACAGGGTCCTGTTGCAGGGCTGAATCCTTTCTCCATAGTTTTGAGCCCTTTTCCAGCCAGATAAATCGAGGCAAACCATTTTCCCACTAGGCGTCTGGATTTGCTGGGGATTTAGGAGTGGATGAGGACCCTGGGAGAGGGGAGTGATGGGGTGGGAAGGGAGATGGAGAGCAGTGGTGGATGGGGTGAGGAAGATGAGGCCCTCCCTGTTCACATTGCCCTGGAAACGTGGATTTTTGTTTCTATCTGCCTCGGCAGTTGTGAAAAAAGCCACTTATGGTGACTTTCATGTAGGGATCAGCACTCGGGAGGTCCCTGTATCTAGATGGGTCTGACTTGCACCGTGGGTGCTGGGGTTGCTGAAATCCTGGGCAGCCCCAGGAGACCCAAAGGTCTGTGGGTGGTGGGATCTGAGCATCCAGAATCTCACCCAGACAACGCGAGGGGCTGGGCGCTGGTGTCCCAGAGTGGGGACTCAGCCTCTGGGGACATGATCAACCTCGGCTTGGGATGCGATGGGGACCAACAGCATCTTCTGCCCCCTCAGGAAGCACATCCCTTGGCTCCTGTGGAAGCCCCCGTGCTGGGCGCTGGAGGCAAGCAGGGGACCCGAGGGACACGAGGGGTGTAGGTGTCACACGGGGGGAGTGCCACCCAGCTGGTGGCGTTTCTCCAGCCCCGGCAGGGTGGGTGGCTTGGCTCTGCAGGCAAGAACCCCCCGCCCCAGGTCACTAGCTCTGCTGCCCAAAACCCTTGCAGGGGTTTTGCTGCTGGAGCCGTGCGGAGGAGTCGCAGCGTGAGGGTTGTCCCCAGTGCTGGCTTGTCCCTGGGAGCGGCGGGAGAGCCAGGAGCCGTGGGGGGGCCGGTTCCCCCTGGCACCCCCCTCCCTGCCTGCCCGGCCCCTGCGGTTCCTCCTTGCTGGGGAGCTGGTGCGAGTGCATGACCCGGGGTGTAAGTGCTGAGATCAGTAAGCGAAGTGCCTGGCCACGCTCTCTGCCTCCATGTGACTGCAGTTTCCGTTAGCTCCTTCCGCAAAGGCTATATTAGTGCTGAGCGAGAAAGCGGGTGGGAGAGAAACCTCACGGGTCACCCCTACCCTTGGCCCCTGGACCCCCCCCCGAGCACAGCCAGAGGGGCTGCCGGCTGCAGGATGAGTTGTGGCAAACCCCGCGCGCCGCCCCACGTGGTGAGTAACTGCCCCCCAATACCTTTGCCATGGGGGAAAAAAACCTGCTGGGGCTTTTGGGGAGCCCCCCCTCACCAGCTTGAAGATCCGTGGTGGCCGTGCATTGCTAATGCCCACGCTTGCCAGAACCGTGGCTGCGTGGGCCGGTGCCGGGGCTGGGGAGCACCGTGGGGAGCACCGTGGGGAGCACCCTGGGTGCTCCCAGACCTCAGGCATGCGGGCTCCGCTGCGGGGCTGCGGGCAGGGCTTTCCTGCCCACGCTGCTGCCCGCTCTCCCGGACGGGCAGGCACCATCCCCGCAGCCCCGGGAAGGAGTGTGGAAGGATGGAGGACCTTGTGGTGCTGGGGAAAGCCAACGCGGGGCATCACAGAAAGGTTGGGCTGAATGAAAGAAAGTGTGAGCTTCTGCGGAGGGGCTCAGGGGCTGGAGGTGAGCAGGAGCCAAAGCCCTGTGGTCTTTGCAGGGTCCCTCTCCTGCCACCGTGCCTGGGCATGAGGAGCTGCTGGAGACCTAGGGCTTGGGAGGACACAAGTTGCTGTGTTGGCTCCAGCCCGGGCAAGGGAGGCTTCTTCTCCATCCCCAGCAGATTTGATAAGACACCGGCTTCGTGTTTTTGTCTGTGCCAAGGAAGGAGACAACGCAGGATGTGCTCCCTCTGCGCTGTGAGGCTCTGGCTACCCAGGTTGCCAAAAATAACCTCCCTCTTTCTTCTTCAAGCACTGGCACTTCTGAAAACGCCGCTTGCTGAGCCCTCACCGAGACCTCGCTGCTCATTTGCCTGAAGTTCAGCTTTTCCCCAGATGCAAATGCTGTCAGCTCCGGTTCCACCAAGTTAGTAACAGGGCACCTCGTGCTGGAGAGCCCGGGAGGACCTCGGGCAGGGATGGGTGCTGGAGGGGAATCGCTGATGGCCGGGTCGGTGTCCTCTGGGAGAGAGTTTGGCACCAGGGAGGGGGGATGCGAGCCCTGGCGGTGGTGGGGAAGCCTCTGCTCAAGGGTTGCAGTTCAGTGGTGTTTGCAAGCAGCTGTGCAGCGATGATGGTGCCCTTCCCATGTGCGCTGCCCCATGCAGGGACTGGCTGCTACCTCCCTGTCCCTTGCTCCTGCCCTCCAGACTCTCCTTGGTGGACATCCACAAGGGCTCCTGCTGGGCACAGTGGGCTCAGTGCTGGGGCTCTTTGCTGTTTCTCCATGGGTGGCTCGTGGTGGCTCAGGTCTTGTGGGGCATGGTGGCCACCACTATGGCATGTTGGCAGCCCATCATCTCTGGGTGTTCCTGAGGGCAAAGATGAGAGTTGCAGGGAGCAGCCATGGGCAGGAGGCCAGCAGTGCACAAGGATCACTGCTGCCATGATGGGCTCCCTAGGAACACCTGGGCCTTTCGGGATGAGCAGCTTTTGACCTTCTCACCTCTGTCTCCATCTTCACAGGAGTGCCACCGCTGAGATGGAGGCCCTGCTCCCTGGTCTCTCCCTGCTCCTGGTCCTCCTGGCATCGGGATGGGGAAGTGGGGCACTCGCAGCCTGGGCAACATTTCCCAGCGGCTGTGAGCTCGTAAGTCCTCTCTTGCAAACCCTCACCCTTCTGTCTGCTTGGTCCTGCCCTACAAAGCCCAGGCTCCTCAGCATCTCCAGACCTTCCCCCTCGCAGCTACTGGCTTAGCTAAGGAGTGGACTGGGCTGCCGAGACTCTAACCATAGACCCACCTCCTCCATCCTCACTCTGCTCCCCAAACTTCTCCCTCCTCATCTCCCCCCATCTCCTGCCTCTCAGAGCGGTGTTACGTGTCCACTTCTTGCTTTAGGTGCAGAACACCGTGGACTGCACTAGGAGATGGCTGAGCTCTGTCCCAGGAAATCTTCGAGGTGATACCGAGGAGCTGTTGCTTGACGACAACACTATCCAGGTTCTGGGCAATGTCTCTCTGCTCACGTACCACCAGCTGCGGCGACTCAGCTTGACCAAGAACCGTCTGGAGCTCATTGAGCCTGGTGCCTTCCTCAGTAGCCAAGGCCTCCACGTGCTCTCCTTGGCTGACAACCTCCTCTTCACCAACTACTCACTGACAGCAGCTGCTCTTTCTGCTCTGCCATCCTTGAGGACGCTGGATCTAGCCGGAAACCGCCTCACTGAGGACATGGTATCAGTTTTGGTCTGGAACTTGTCTTCCTTGGAGTCCTTGTCCGTGGCCCGGAACATCATCATGAGGCTGGACTCATCCGTCTTCACGAACCTGACACAGCTGTTGGAGCTGAACCTGGAGAAGAACTACATTTTTGAGATTGACCAAGCTTTTGAAGGGCTGCAAAGGCTGCAGAGGCTCAATGTAGCTTACAACTACCTCCCGTGCGTAGTGGAGTTTGGCCTGACCCAGCTCAAGCTGCTCAATGTGAGCAACAATGTCATCGAGTGGTTTCTGGCCCTGGAAAGTGATGACCTCTTTGAGCTGGAGGTGTTGGACCTGTCCCACAACCGCCTCCTCTTCTTCCCTGTGTTGCCTCGGCAGAGCAAGCTGCACACCTTGCTGCTGAAGGACAACGAGATGAGCTTCTACCAGCGTCTCCCCAATGGCACATCCCTGGCAAACGTCACGGTGCAGTTCCTGCTAATTGATGGCAACTCCACCAACGTCACAACAGTCAGCCTCTGGGATGAGATCTGCCACAGCAACCTCTCCTCCTTGCGGCTCCTGGACATGAGCCAGAACCAGGTCTGGTACCTGCCGGAGGGCTTCCTGGCCCAGATGCCCTCCCTGACCCACCTGAAGCTCAACCAGAACTGCCTGGAGACGTTTCACCTGTCAGAGGGGGACCCCTTAGCTATGCTGACAGAGCTGGACCTCAGCCAGAACCAGCTGGAGGAGCTGGGGGCAGAGGCAGGTGCTGGGGACGTCTTGCCCAACCTGCAGCTCTTCAACCTCAGCACCAACAGGCTGCAGGTGCTTCCTCCTGAGGTTTTCACCTACACCAGGAAGATTGCTACTGTGGACCTCAGCCGCAACCGGGTCGACCTCTGTCCCCAGCCAGCTATCGCAAGCAAGGTGGAGAGTCCCCCCTGTGTGGACATCAGGGGTGTCAAGACCTTGACTCATCTCTCCTTGGCTGGCTGTGGTCTGCAGGGACTGGGTGGCCACCCCTTCCAGGGGACCTCACTGGTGTATTTGGACCTCTCTGACAACCATCAGGCATTGTCTGGGAACCTGGAGTGGCTGCAGGACCTTGCTCTGACACTGCGGGTGTTGTCTCTGAGGAACACCAGCCTCTCCTCCACCGCTGTGGACTTCTCAGCCTTTAACAGCCTCGTGCGCTTGGACCTGTCGGGGAACTCCTTGACCGTCTTCCCCACCTCGATGGGTGTCCTGGAACTGCGCAGCCTGGACCTGCGGGACAACTGCCTCCCGGCTCTCCCAATGGATGTCGCGCGGACCCCTCTGGGGAAGAGCCTGCGGGAGGTCTACCTCAGCCAAAACCCCTACAACTGCTGCACGCTGGGCTGGTGGGATGCCCTGCAGTGGGTCGAGGGGTTGCACGTCCCTGACGGGCAGGAGGTGACCTGCGTCTACGCCTCCCGAACGCTGAGCCCCAGGGCACTGCCCGAGCCCATCCTGCGGAGCTGCCGCTGGCAGATGGCCGACCTGGCGCTCCTCTACCTGGTGCTGGCTCTGCCCACCTGCCTGACACTTCTGGTGGCCTTCGCTGTTGTCTTCCTCATGCTCAAGGAAAAGCTGCTGAAAATGGTGAAAAGTCAGTGCGGGGTGTCCAGCTCTTACTGATGGCTGATGAGGAAGAGGAGGAGGAGGAAGGGCTCAGGAATGGCGAATGCGAGCAGGTTGTCAGGGTTACGGGCAATGACCCCTCCGGGGTGGGTAAGATGTAGACTTGATGGATGGAGGACCGGTGGGTGCTGGGAGAGCTGGTGTTCCTGCTACAGATGCCCTAAGGGTACCCAAAGGGTGCGGGGCCGTGGCTGGTGGTGGAGCCTGGGGCCATGCTGAGTGTGTCCTCAAGGGGCATGTCTTCAGCAGAAACCTTCAGTAGGTGTTGGTGAGAGCCAAGTGGACGTCACACCGAATGCCTCTTGGCCAAAGGGGCATGGACAGTTGCCCCCCAGAGCTGCTTTTTGCCCCCCCTTCAGGCAGTTCCTTTTATTTATTCATCCCTGTAGCCCACTCTGCTACAACAAAACATCCTCCAGCTCTGCAGCCAGCCTCTGGGCATTGCCCCAGGACGGAGCATCACTTGGGTGCTGCAGAGAAGGGTCTCCATCGCCGTGGTGTCCCACGCTGCAAACTCGCTGGCAGCCTTGGGCGTGCACGCGTGTGCCTGTGCTGATAAGGCAGGCGTCAGCGGGGCTGAAAGACACGTGTTGAGCTGTCATTGCTTGGTTAAGTTATGATCCTGGTTAGAAGAGCCCGTTAAAAATAGCCCAAGCTGCAACGATGTAAAATACAGACTGAAAGGCATGAGAATAAATTATATCAGTGGTAATACTTTATCATCAATTTCTTTTCCTCCAGCAGCTGCTGGATAAAACAGATGCAGAGGAGATAAAATAAGAGAAAGCCTTCCTCCTCGTTGCGCAAGCCCCGCTCTGGTGGGCTGTCGTCTCCAGCGTGGGGGGGTTTCCTCCACCCAGCCCCGCTCACAGCACGTACCGGTGCTCCTGTACCAGCAGTGCTACCTGGGGAAATGCCGCGTTGTTCCTCGGAGGGTGACTGTGGGTGGAAATGAGAAGTGATGGTGGTTTGTGCAAACTCAAAAGCCCTGCTGAGAACCTGCTTTATCCCTGCAGCGCTGCCGGGGTGCCTCCAGAGAAACACGTGCCTGAGTTTGATGGGAAGGCGGCATGCCGGGGAGCGAGGGGTGGTGCTGGGGTGGGCATGATGGGGGTTTGTCCTTGCCTTGACTCAAAGCAGCTCTGCGGAGTGATGTGAGGTGTGCTGGGGGCTGGAGCCCCCCCAGCCAGCCCCATGTCGCTCCACCTCGCACGGGGTTGTCCTGGCAGGTGGTGGAGGGAGATGGCCAAGGCTGGCGTGGGGTGATGCTGGGGGGCAGTGGAGGCGGGGGCCAGCAGGGCAGCAGGCGTGGGGACAGGGACCGCGGTCGCTGGTGAGCCTCACACGGCCGACTGCCGTGCCGGGCTGGGCAAAACGCTGCAGATCAGACCATTCAGGACCCCTGGCAGCGCTGCTGGGGCTGAGCGCGGGCAAGGCTTTGGTAACCCAGCTGTCAAATCTGTCTCAGAAAATGGCGGTTTTCTGGCCCTGTTTTAAACTGAAATAGCCCAAACCAAATCAGGCCCCGGCTGGGGAATCCCTACACCTATTTCAGCCGTTCTTTTGCCTGTAAGCCTCACACCCGAGGGACAACAGTGACCTATAAATACATCCCTGAGATGTCCTCGGTGGGTCTGTGCTGGCACTGAGTACTGCAGCTGTGTTTCGGTGTCTCCACGCTGGCAGGGTGCCCCTGTGAGCACCCCACTCCTGGAGCTGTTTCCCCGCCGCTGTGGGTGCTGGGTCTGGCCTCGGGGGCTGGATGTGTGCAGTTCCTCCACCACTGTGGCCACTGCCGCTTCTCCTTTTGGCGTGGGGATGTGGGGTGCAGATGCAGGAGTGCACATAGGTAGCAACCCGGGTGCCCAGCACTGCCTGGGGTGCGGATAAATCATGGGAATTCTTGCTCGTATGGAGCCAATATGGGGGATACTCAACACTCCTCCATCATGGGAGGGGTTAGAAGCTTTGCCCAGGCACAGGGAATGGTGCCGGGAAAGCCGAGGCTCACCCAGAGCTGGGACGTGCAAGGGATGTCAGAGCAACAAGACAAGCTTCTACTTTTAGAGCAGTTCATATCCTTAAAAAGCTGATGTTCATCATCTTAGCAAGGACATAGAGATCAGGGGACGTCCTCAGTGACTGGAGAAAGGCAAATGTCATACTCATCCTCAGTAATGGCTGAAAGGACATCCTGGGGAGCAGCAAGATGGTCACCCTCGTGTTGGGAAAACCACAGAGTGGTTCTAGAAGAGGGTGGCTGGGAGAAGTCAGTATGGATTGACCAAGGCCAGGTCATGCCTGACTTGCCTCTCACGAAGACATGGCTGGATTTGTAGGCAAGGAGAGAGCAGTGGGTATCACTTCTCTCAACATCAGCATGACTTTCAGCACTGTATCCCACAATGTTCTTGCTTTCAAGCGAGGATGTCATGGTCTGGGTAGGTGGGCAGCCAGCTAAGTGAAGATCAGTTGGATGACCAAGCACAGAAGGCAGCAGTTAGTAGGATGCACTCTATCAGGAGGCTGGTGTATGGCAGGGGTCTCATCTGAGAGCTGTCCCGTTTGATGATGTCTTTGTCCATGATCTGGACGAGGCCATGGAGTGCCTTCATGTCAAGCTCACAGATGAGCCCAAATTGGGAGTTGATACTGGGCTGCTGTCTTGAAGGACCAGGGTGGGCTGGAGCAACAGGCTAGCAAGAACTTCACAAGCCAGGGCAGTGATTACCCCTCAACTCGGCACTCGTTAGGCATCATGTAGACCTCATCCAGTGAGGACAGCCATGCTCAGGCTCCATCCTCTGAGCCCCACTAGGAGAAAGCCGGGTGCAGGCTGGCTTTCACCGCGGCAGGCAGGGTGTGGAGTGGAGGTCCCCAAGTGTCCCCTCTCACCCAAGTGGGAGATGTTTATATGCTGTTATGTTGCAACTTTTGGGTGGAAACAGAGCTAGGCCTGTGCTGGAGATCTGCTCACCCCTTGGTGCGTGGAAGAGCTGATTCAGGTCTTATTTTTTTATATTTTTGGCAAATGAGCTTTCATTTCTCTTCTGAACTGAAGACTCCTTTGGAGAAACATAAGCGCCCTCATCCTCTCTGGTGATGACAAGGGACAGTGATTTAATTGACACCTGTTCTGGGTTTTTCCCAGAACTGGTTCTATCATTTCAGTGCGTTGGAGGAGAGCTCTTCCAAACACCAGCTTCTGCGCTGTGATACAATGTCTTATCGGTAAAATGGACAGGCTTAAATTCATTTGTGGTTGCAAGAAGGAAGGCAAGAACTGTCTTGGAGGCACTTTACAACTCCTCTTAGTTACCTTCAGCATCAGTTTGCTGGGGCCACTCAACTCGGGATGAAGGCCCATCCCACTCACAGCCACCCAGATTCGGAAAGCCAAAACCTGGGAAGCTTTTGGAGTCACAAAACTTTCTAAAGAATCCTAAACTTAGTCTTCCTATTCTTACGAGCGAGCAGGACCTGGCTAGTACAAACCAGCTGAGGTGGACAATGGCATGAAAAAGTAAAGTATAATATTTGTTTGCGGAGATGAATTTCTCAGTGACCATCAAGACATTACGTGGAGGAGCTTTGGCTGTAGCTTTACTTGTCACGTCAGTTTCTCCCCAGCAGGATTTTGAGCGAGCCGGGAACTGCAGTCTGATGGGGCAGCAGGGGCAAAGGTTTTGCTCCCAGCTTTTGTGACCTTCTACCACACTACTTCATTTTGGATAGTTCAAGCACATTTTCCCAGAATTGAGCACTTACTAACAAAGAATCTTCTAGTAGTACAAGGAAGCAAAATGCTTCACATCATCAGCTTGAAATCACTGTATTTTCAAAAGTACTTTCAAGACTAAATTACTTTCTCGATATTCTGTTTTTCAATATGGGGATTTATAATTGTGTAAGGAGAAGCTCAAGAATTAAGCATTGCTCAGGAAACACCAGGGTAATATTCTCAATGCAATGTTGATTTATCCAGAGAGACTAATATATATTTAACATTCCAACAAGTAATAATAAATACCATATGCATATAGCAATGCTATAACACTGCTTTCAAGATGTAAATATTTAACACTTCATTTTCAGACAAAGCTGAATCAAGATCACAGCAAGACAAGCTGGTGAGGTTTTCAGCCAAAGCTGACTGAAATGCAAACAAGTGAAAATGTAAATAATTTAAAATTATTTTAGGCACTCATACATAGGAAAAGACTAAAAACACCCAGTAAGTTCAGCTGCCCAATTTCATCGAGTCTGGCTTCTTAAACAAAGTTCACTTAAACCTGGAATTGCTGTAGCATCTTAGGCCTTGGGTTCTCCATAGCCAATGTCATGTGCATCAACAGCCTGAACAGAAAACGAAGCGGTAGAATACGTGTGCTGACCTCATTCTCTCTGTCGGGACTGTGAAACTCGTCTCTGAACTGCCTGTCTTTGCCCAGAATCAGATTTCTTCATCTGACTCCACGTCCCAGCCACAGGACTCCAGCTGTTCATCCTGGGGAAATTCAACCTCGATGTCGTAGATGAAATCTGGGTCTTCCTTCTTCTTCCTGTTCTTTTCAAAGAGCTCATCCATGATGCTCTTCCTTTTGGCTAGTTCCTTGTCATCTAATTTGTTCATATCCTCTTCTGGGTCAATGGTCTCTTCCCGATGAAACTTTTCCAAGCTCTCAGCCAGGCTCTCTCCTCCCAGATGACCTTTCAGCAAACTGTACAGCTTCTGTAGCTGACGCAGTGACACTCCTTCTAGGTAAGCCTTGTGCCGAGAGTTATTTTTCAGCTGCTCGGCAGCCAAGCCACAGTCTAAAGAGAAAGCCATCATGAAAAATTATAACTCCAAGCAAATCTCTTCCCATGAACAGATCCTCTTAGAATCACAGAATGGTTTGGGTTGGAAGGGACCTTAAAGATCATCTTGTTCCAACCCCCCTGCCCTGGGCAGGGACACCTCCCACCACACCAGGTTGCTCCAAGCCCCCTCCAACCTGGCCTTGAACCCCTCCAGGGATGGGGCAGCCACAGCTTCTCTGGGCAACCTGGGCCAGGGTCTCAACAGCCTCAGAGTGAAGAATTTCTTCCTTATACCTCATCTAAATCTTCCCTCTTTCAGTGTCAAACCCTCCCCCCTCCTCCTAGGGCTCCCCTCTCTGATGCAGAGTCCCTCCGCAGGTTTCCTAAAGCCACCCCCTTTAGGGACTGGAAGGGGCTCTAAGGTCTCCCCAGGCTGAACCCCCCCAACTCTCTCAGCCCCCCCTCCCAGCAGAGGGGCTCCAGCCCTCCCAGCATCTCCGGGGCCTCCTCTGGCCCCGCTCCAACAGCTCCATGTCCTTCTGCTGGTGGTGGCCCCAGAGCTGGAGGCAGCACTGGGGGGGGTTCTCCCCAGAGTGGAGCGGAGGGGCAGAATCCCCCCCTGGCCCTGCTGGCCACGGGGCTGGCGACTCCCAAGCCCTCACAAGTGAGACTTCCAGACGTAGCAGAGCCACTGCTCAGGTTAAGATGTAGCCCCAGGCTCCTCAGGGGAGACAGTCTTACCCCAGAAGAACCTCTCTTTGCACTCCCTGCGTGCCAGCAACAAGCCACCCAGTGGTTACTAAAAATGCTGTTACCAACTACCTGTTCCTCTCCCAGTGTCCTGAGGGGACCTGGGGAACGCTACAAGTAACACACCACACCTGAGAACTTGGAGAAATTTCGGACAGGCATGATGCGCTGGCGAGTCTTATCCTCACTGTTGTCTTTGTAGATGAGGACAATGGATGGAGGCTGAAAGCAGATGCCACACTTCTTTGCAGTGTAAGTCATCACAGCTCCTGCTGCCAGCAGCAGCGTGGCCAGCTTTATCAGGTGTCCTCAGCAACCTCCAAGCTAACTGAAAAACAGGAAAAGAAAAAAGGGAAAGAAAATGTGAGTGTCTCTCGGGCCTGTTTTTCTGTCAGGGTTAGAGTGACCCACGTTCAGCAAACACATGCAGCCGTGGCATAAGTCTTCCCGATTTCAGTGGCACCTGAACACGTCCCTCCACGCTCTGCGGGCCGGCTGCCAGACACAGGGTGATTCCCAGCTCCTGGTTTACACCTTTGTCACTACTGGAGCTTTCAATCACAATTACGCATCACACACAAGCTAATGTTTTGGTCTACCAGCTGCACAGTCAAATGATACCTAGCAGATGTTTTTTTTTTTTTAATATGTACTAATTTTTAAAGTTAAAAATACCATAAAATAGTAAATCAATCTATGACAGCTTCTCCACAAACAACACTTACTGCATATTGTATCCATCGCTCTGGAAAGCCAGGAATTATTTACTTGCCAAACCCTTTTCTGCTCTAACCACCAGGCTTTTCACTTTGTATCGCCCGACAGCTCATATGAAAGCTCCAGGTGTTACTTCAGGGAGAATCCAATTTTTCTGTAAAGACACAGTGATATATTTCTGCCGTAAGCTTATTTGAGCATATGTAAAAAAAAATCTTCAGAAAATGCAGATAAAATGAAAATTTGAAATGTCTTGGAACCCCACTGAGTTTCCACAAAATTAAATCTGAATGGTGCAAGAGATGCAACAAAGACAGAATTTTTAAAAAGCTTTTAAGAGGCAGGACACCCAGTCAGCTTTTTTTAAAGCTTTCTTACAGTTTCAGAGAGACCTCGGTACAGCAGCACATCTGTAACCTGTGACAGATGGGAGAAGGGCAGAGAAGAGATTCAGAAATGAAGGATAAAAGTAATTAAACTCCTTCTTAGGTGTCAATGAAAATATGAATCCATTTTAAAGAGAGGAGACGATGTTCAACTGCTTACTCTTCCTCAAACTAACAAACACCATCGATGAAGCTGAAAAGCGGAGGGTTCCCAAGTGACAAATGGAAATGGTTGTTACACAGGACATTACCATTGGCAGAGCTTAAGCCATAAAATGGTCATGAAGGTGTCAAGAACGTCAGAAGATGTGAAAATGCTGAGCAGTTGCATGTGAGTGTGGGGGAACTGGGAAGCTTTGCCTGACTTACAAAGTGGAGAAAGAGGGTGGGTAGGGAGGAAGGGCTGACTGACCCACTAAACACACGGCGGTGTTTATAGGGACGTATATTTATACAGATAGCACAAACATACTGTACATGCTAGAATTTCATTTTAAAGGAAGGACTACTGAACTTTCAAGTATCAGTGCATTGGTCAGCTACTACATGAGTGAGGTAAAGAAGTTAATCTGTAATTATCCTTTTTACTCTTTTCTGAAGGATTTTGTCTTGTGAGAGGAGAGGGGTAACGTCAGTCTGACTGACAGTGACTTCTCTTTTTCTGCCGTATTGCATTTGTCCGTACCCAAAATGCTCTCGAGAACTCCTCAGCAGCGGCCCTGCCCTCAGCTCCGTCCCCTTTTCAGTCAGATGAAATATCAGAGGAGACCTGAAGATCCAGATCTGCTGCAGATCCTCTTTCCCGGCTTAGTGTATGACACTGAACGCATGTGTTATTTTTCTTTTGGCTTTAAATAAGGGAAAATATATCAAATGTGCAGGTTATCTTCTTCTCTGACTATCCTACAGACTGCAGTAAGAGAGAAATTATACCCTCAAATTTAACGTATGTCTCCAAGCCAAGAAAAATTGCTTTAATCTTCAAAAGTTACTTTGAAGCCGATTTGAAGTGTTCCTTCTTTGTTAAAAACCACATAGGAAAGAGTCCTAACTTGCAGTAATTTTCTCAATACTGAAAATTAACTACATCTACTATACCTTTTCCTTTCAAATAGCTCTACGAGCTGGGGAGAAAAGCAGAAGTCTCTCAAGAGCCACTTTCGCTACCTTAAAATGAGAAACGATCCTTCGAACTGAACCGAAATGGTTTTTTGAAGGGTCACTGATGATCAGGAGAGGGATCTCCACCTCTGCAGCGGCAAAGACATCCTTAGACGAGAAACAGAAACGTGAGAAGCAGCCGTGGGGATCCGCGTGAGGGAGGTTACGTATCTCCAGGCAATGCAGCCTGGTGGCAAGACGAGCCAACCCTCGGGGCCGTGCGCGGAGACAGAAGCGGAGCGGAGCAGGGCCGGGTTCGTCCTTCCCGCCTCTCGCCCCTTACCCTCACCTCAGTCGGCGGCGGCGACCTCGTCACAGGCCGGGGCCGAGCGGCGGCCGAGGCCTACCCTGCGCCACCGGGGCCTGCCCTGCGCGGTTGCCATGGCTACGGTGGCGGCGCCGCCGGGCCCTCCCGAGGCAGGCCCCCTCGCGGCTGCCCAGAGCAGCGCCTGCGGGACGTGGCGGCCGCCGGCCGGCCCTTGCCGCTGCGAGGCCGCGTAGCGGGTGGGGAGAGCGGCGAGAATGAAGCGGCAGGGCAGTGTTTAACGGCGGGACGGTGTTCTGTGGCGAGTCCCGCGGAGCGTGGGGCGGCGGGGTCAGGCGGGCGCGAATGGCGCCAGGCTGTAGGGAGCGGGCCTGTCATGGCGGGCGGCCCGCGGCGGCGGGGGCTGGCGCTGCTCCGCGCCGGGCTGACAGCGCTCCTCTGCGGCCTCCGTGAGTGCGGGGCGGGCGGCTCCCGGTGGGGCGGGGGGAGGCTCTGCCCGGGCATTACGAAACAAGATAGACATGGAGGTGTTGGAGCGGGTCCAGAGAAGGGCAATGGAGCTGGTGAGGGGTCTGGAGCACAAGTCTTGTGAGGAGAGGCTGAGGGAGCTGGGGGTGTTCAGCCTGGAGAAAAGGAGGGTGAGGGGAGACCTTCTCGCTCTCTCCAACTCCCTGAAAGGAGGGTGTAGCCAGGGGGGGTCGGTCTCTGCTCCCAAGGAACAGGAGATGGGACAAGAGGAAACGGCCTCAAGTTGTGCCAGGGGAGGTTCAGATTGGAGATTAGGAAAAATGTTTCCACTGAAAGGGTTGTCAAGCGTTGGAATGGGCTGCCCAGGGCAGTGGTGGAGTCACCATCCCTGGAAGTATTTAACAGCCGGGCAGACGTGGTGCTGAGGGACATGGGTTGGTGGTGGTTTGGGCAGTGTTAGGTCAGTGCCTGGACTTGATGATCTTAGAGGTCCCTTCTAACTGAGACGATTCTATGATTTCTTTACTGAGAGGGTGGTCAGGCACTGGAAGAGGCTTCCTAGACTGTTGGTTGATGCCCCAAGCCTGTCAGCATTTACAAGGCATTTGGACAATGCCCTTAACAACATGCTTGAACTCTTGGTCAGCCCTGAAGGGGTCAGGCAGTTGGACTAGATGATCATTGTCACTCCCTTCCAACTGAAACAGTCTATTAACTGTTGAAATTAATAGCAGAAGCAAGCAATTTTCCAGATTAAGTAATTGAAAAAACAGCTGCAATACCTTTTGCAAAATTTGATTTTAAGCCAACATTGCCTTGCTTGAGGTCTCCACTCAAGCAGATACTGATGTTGTACATAAGGTGCTGGAGTTTCAGATCTAAAAGGGAAATCCTGTGGAAACCTAGAGAACAAAATAAAAAAGGAATGGCTGTAACACAAAGTTCATTGTTAAAATTTGGGTCTCACAGGGATTGATATACAAGTAGGAGATGTGAAATCATGCCTGCAAGGGGGGGTTGCAGTGGGAAGAAGTGGGGATTGTTACAGATTCCTCAGTAAAAACAAAACTACGCTTTTGAAAGTTGCTCTACTGGAGAAAATAAAAGAGAGATATTTAAGTCTTTGTGGTAGCTGAAGCATGCTGTTCCACTGACAAAATGGCTGTTGGTTGTACTGAATTGAAATGCAGTTTCCCTTTTTACTGTGAGAGGTTTTGCAGATGGTGTGTTTGTAGATTATACCACTTTTCTTGTTAAGGTTGTCTGCCTATGTGATAATTACGCATGCTATTGTGTAAACACCATTACTCGTTTGTTCTGTGCTACCTTAGATGTGCAGGCCGCTTGTCAGGATGCCACTGTCACGCAGGAGCTTCTGAAAGAGGGATTTCACAGGTGAGTTCTCGCCCTGGCGATGCATGAGAATAATGTCCCAGGTAATTTTATGTCTGAAGAAGTCTGAAGGAGAGCCTAATTCACGGTTGTATCAGCTCACTGAGCTGTGATCCGTAGGCACGGCTAGGCACCGGGAATATATTAACACAATCAAGTAATTAACAATTACAGCTATAGTAGAGGAAGAACCAGTGGCCCTTTTCTAAGATGAAGATCTAGGAGGCCCTTGGTAGTTCTGAGAAGTTAACGAAGAAGTGAAACTTCATTTTGGTCATGATGTGGAGTCAGGGTGAACTACATCTTCCTCACTGGAGAAGGACCGCATGGCTCGACAGGGAACTGTTTTATAGTACGTGAGAGCTGCTATCTCATGTACTATATGCTTATAAATACTTAAAGGGTGGGTGTCAAGAGGACGGGGCCAGTCTTTTTTCAGTGGTGCCCGAGAATAGGACAAGAGGAAATGGGAACAGACTTGCACATAAAAGTTCCACCTAAACATGAGGAGGAACTTCTTTCCTGGGAGGGTGGCAGAGCCCTGGCAGAGGCTGCCCAGGGAGGTGGTGGAGTCTCCTTCTCTGGAGACATTCAAACCCCACCTGGACACGTTCCTGTGGGCCCTGCTCTAGGTGGACCTGCCCTGGCAGGGGGTTGGAGGAGATGATCTCCAGAGGTCCCTTCCAACCCCGTATCATTTTGTGATTCTGTGAGATTCTGTGATCTCATCCCTGCACATTGCAGAGTATATCTCTTGGATTTTTGTGCTGTCTTTTGAAGTGCAGGTATAAGTGTTTTGCTTCTGTTGCTTGTTTGAAGGGACCTGCTGGTGAGGGTGGAACTCGGTGCAGCAGGGGAGGAGGCAGAAGGGTGTGCAGTGGCAGCTAGAACTCGTCTTCCACCAGGAATCTACGTGGATCCCTACGAGCTGGCATCACTGCAGCAGCACAATTTAACAAAGGTAACAGCCCCAAAACTAAGACATCTGGCAGTTACTCAGGAAGTTGCTATCTCTGGTCATTATCTGGCTCGTTGAACCAAGGTGATTAATTCCCTTTCCTGGAAGGAGATGCCACACAGTATCATCTTTGTGACATCTCATTGTATCTCTGGGCTTGATCAGCATGGGTTGGTGCAGGGTGTTCTCTTTCAGTGCAGGGTGTTCTCTGTGGTATGCTGCTGGTATTTCCACACACAGGCGTGCCTACTGGGGCAGCTCTGCAGCTCTGCTCAAGCCCCGGATGAGGAGCTGTGGTAAAAGCTATTTGTGTTGGGAGGATGGAAGGTTAATCCCCAGAGAAGAGGTGGTGGCAGGCTCCAAGTAGCGTGCTGCACCTTCAGACTGAGTAGCTTCACAGCTTTGTTTTTATCACAGCTTTCTGTGTTGCTTTCCTGTGTTTGCTTCGCATTTTGGGTAGGGAGATGTGCTAAGGCTGTGGCTTTAAGGTAATCTCCTTAGGCACTTAATTCAGCTAAAATATATGGATGCAAAAACTCTGGGCAACTTCTGCTGCTTGGGGTGTTTTCAGTCACTGGTATTGCTTTGCTTAAATGCATCGTTGAGCTAGTGGCTGTTAGGTTTGGCTGGAGGCATGGCTGCACTGTAAACTCTTCACACCTAAGAATCACTCATTGGAGAGGGACTTGAAAAGTTATTTTGCATCAGCTTAAAGACGGAATTTCCGACTTGATCTTCCTGACCACAAAATCAGACCCAGTGTTAGAAAATAGAATGAGGGAAATAGTTTTCCCTTCTGATGCTGCAGTCGGTTACGGCAGCAGGCAGCAGCCTCTTAAATCCCAGAATCATGCACAAAAAGTTCATACAGTTTTTTTTCTTGCATCCCTCTCTTGTGTCAATTCTGATCACAACCACATCTCTGTCCTTCTCCACTTGCAGGTGGTGTTAATTCCTGATGTCATCGATGTGGAGGCTCCTGAGTACTTAGCTACAGAGCTTCTTGTTCTCCTGCACATGGAACCTGACTCTGGGTGTTCTCACTGTTTTAGAGCTGCTGTGCCTGTGCATGGGCGCTACCACCGGCCGGCAGCAGGGAGTGAGGAAGCCTTGGTGATTCTGAAGAGCCCAGAAGTACTGGTCTGCTGCTGTGACAGTGAGATTCTTGTTACATGTTCTTTTGGAGAGAGAGGAATAACCGTGGGCAATCCAGAGCTTGGAATCTGGTTCTGTGGTTATCTTCCGGAGACGGAGCACTCAGTAGTCATGTGAATGCGAGGGGAAGAGAGTGGCCCTGATAAAGACCACGTTGTCTTCCTTTTTGAATGCTGCTGCTGCCTGACCAAAGGCAGATCAATTGTCAACAGGCTTCTTGGTGCTGCACTGCTGCCCTTGTACCCTTGTACTGAAAGCGCTGGCAGTTGGTCAGTTTGTCACAGTCCTGGCAGGCCCTGGCTTTGTTAAAGGTCAGCTGCTCTGACCGTGTTTTCACAGTGTTCCTCTTGGCAGCTGAAGCCGTGCATGGCGCATTTAATATTCGCTATCACGTATTCGGAGTAATCAGAGTGTTCCGGTGCTTTTCTAACACTTGCTTCCCCCACTCCCTATATATAAAGCAGGGAATGTAGAAAACTGTGTGCCTGAAGGTTAGAGTGGTTGGAGTCTCAGACTCCTGTGAAACAGGAACCTGATATCCGCTGACAATGAATATTGCAAATTACACGAACAATGAAATCCTACATTTTTGCTACCAATTTTATTTCCTTTCACAAAATCTTTCTTGCTAGCTGCCAAGTCAAATGTGCTAATGATTCTCAGTTCCCTTAACTTCACTTGTGCATTGTTTGAGCAATGATTTTCTGGGATAAATTTAGGAGCTGTTCAATTAAAAAAGGCATGTGAAATCTTCCCATTTTTCTACCACATTTACTAATGAGCAAGAAAACATATTTATTATTAATATGAAAGTATTTGAAGTATCGGAGGGGAGTTCTTGCAAGTGCTGACAGGAGACCAACAAGGAGAAATGGAAGAATGGCTTCTGTGTTTTGGGGGAAGGGAAATGATAACTGTATGGCTAAAGTTGAGGGGTCTGCAGGCCACTGATGAATTCTGTGCCCTGTTAAGGACAGAAGGGACAAGATATGACACATGTGAGAGTCTTCCTTGGGTACCTACTATATCAGGAGGGGAAGAGTTGCAGATTTCATGAAAGGGGCTGCTCAGCATCACTTTGGCTGGAGGTGAGCTGGCACATTTCTGTCAGTGCTGATTCACCTGTTGGCTTTCAGAGAGTGGATTCTGTCTAGCTGTTGTGGAGGAAAGATGCCTCATTTGGCAAAGTCTTGCAGGCTGTATTGTTTCATCCCGACTGGATCCTACTGACAAATTAACGTCTTCCATAGATCGCCTGTCAGCAGAGTGTTGGGAGCCTGCTGAAGTGGAAGCTCCCTGTTTGGGCAAAGCCACGGGCCCCTGTCAGTGGTACAGCAAAACACACAAACTGGTGAGTTCTCATTTCTGGTGGGAATTCTTGGTTCTCATTTAACAGTTGCTGCCCTTTATTTCTGTGATTAGTGACTTCCATAGCACAGGAACTAATCAGTAATTCCCCCTTAGGGAGGCTCCCTTCTTCCTTTCTGACCAGCTTTTAATGGGGGTCATCCCGTCCTTCTGACACGCTTGCAGGCACTCTGTGCTCTTCTAGCCCTTTATGGGGTTGATTTCCTCACTTTTTGTTAATAGTTTACTTGGAATTCTAGGATATAATTGGCAGTGGTGAAATTAAGAAAGGTCTGAAGGTCTTCTCCTCCGAAGTATTTCTTCAGAGGAGTAGCAAAGTGGAAAAGTACTTTGTGATCCAACTAAAGGAGAGGTAAAACCCCAAAGATTGAGGGAATAACGTGTTAAAAAAAAGTCACTTGTATTTCTTTGGTTGTTAACTGATTGGCTAAGTCTAGAAAAACGTGAAGTTTCTTTATTCTGTGTTCAAAACCAACGAAAGTTGAAACTTTAGTGGGGTCAGCAGCTGCCTTTGATACTTGAAAGGGTTGCAGTAGTGTAGAGATCCAGAAATAAGACTAATTTGTCTCATAAAAACTCTGTTGTTTTTGTAACACACGTACCTTCCTGTATTTAAGATACCTGCAGACATCTGGGATATCTGCAGTGCTTGTCCAAAAAAATGTTTTGGAGCCTCCTGCATCACAGAGCAACCAAATAGTTGTTCACCCCAGCGAAAACTGACTTCTCAGTGACCTGTGAAATGCTCATTCTGAGAGCTTCTCTCTCCTGTGCTGTATTATGCACATATCCTCAGTGGCAAGCCTATTGTAAGAATGAAGATACAAAAGATATAAATGACTAACTTTCAAAATAGTAGCAGATAAATTTATTGTGCTTTGTACCACAAGAGTGGCTGGTGCTCCTCTTGCTGCGCATTGAAAATCGATGTCCCATCTCAGTTTTGATTCTGATTCTGAATCTCAGAAGAAGCCTTAGCAAAGGACTAGTTAAATAGTGGCCTGGTTATTAACCCTTTAAGTTGCAGTCAAAAAGAAATAGCTTGTTAAATGAGTGTAATCCATGTATTTTTTTTTTGCAGGCGTGTGAGGAATCAATTCTGCAGGTTCCAGTGGGGGTCAGACAACATAGTTCCTTAGTGTGTGTCACGACTCTTCTTGCCACGGTGCTCTGTTCCAGTCTGATTCTGGCAGCTCTATGCAAATATGGACACTTCTGCCCCGTGACCTGCTCAGAATAAAGAAATACGGAGTGACTGAGCTCCGTCCAGCAAAACTAACTGAATATTACGTCAGCTTCCTAAAGGAATTCTACTCTATGATTATTTATATCTTGTTAATGTGCAAGGGTGCCATAATGGGTTATAGTTCCCTTGGCCTAATTCCTACAAACACCTTTCACACACAGAAGACTGTTTTGACGTGTTGTCAATAGACAAAGCAGACGGAGGGTAGGAAGTAGTGCTGCAAAAAGCTGGAAGGACTGCTACAGTCTCGGTCTCCGTTCCCTCCCCCTGACCCAGAGCTTTGACTACAGTGCTGCCTTTTGCAGATGCGTTGGTATTTCTTGAATTTAAACTAAGCAACTCAGGGATTGGTTATTAAAGGTATGAAAAGCACTCTCTCTCATTAAAGTTTCTGATTTTCAATTTTGTTTACGCTGTCCAGATGGGTTATGTGTGAATTTGTGAGGAGAAATTCTGTGTTTACCTGGGGCAGGAGAAGGCTTAAATATTCTCTCCCATTCCAATAACTGTGAGGGATTAACTGCTCCTGGTCAAATTAGTCAGAGTTTAGAAAATTTGAAAGAAATTTCTCCCTATACCACAAGCTGAAAGAATAACCTTTCGAAGACAAAAGCTGGTTAAAATAATCAAATATTTAGAAGACTTGCATTCAGCCGTCAGAACAGTTGATAAATACAAGGAAATAGAGAGGAAATTACTTCATGGAAAACCTGAGTTGCTCTGGATTGACAGAAGAGCTCGGGTGCTAAGTGTCAGTAGGTGGCACTATAAACTTGTGGTAACTCCTGAGGACTGTTGTGGAGAAAGTAGATTTTATTCCCTATAAGCTGAGAGTAAGTTAGGAAAAGCAGGTGATCTGGGGAGCGTGTGTGTGAGGGGGATGAATGAAAATTCTGGTTTTCAAATTCTGACCTCCTTTTGGGGGCTCTGTGTGCAGCCGAGACTTCTCATCAGCTGAATCGGCCTTTCATCACTGTCCAGCTGTAGCTTCAGGATCCCTTGGGCATCTTTCTTCTGCTTCTGCTGGAATTCAATAGAGAGCTCGTCTTGTGACTTCGCCCACAACAGGTTGGCAAGTGCTCTGACACTGGGCTCTTGTTCTCCCTTGACTGTGCTGAATGATGAGGCTGCGCCAGTACTTCATCCACTACCTCAGAGGAGTCAGGCACTGCATCTGCTTGGGGGAAGGGAGGAACTAACCACAACAATCGCAGAGAGATTTGGCCGCCTGTTCTGTTTAACCACATCAGCGCAGTGCGGCCACAGACCAGTCTCGTAGCGCCTGTCTCCCAGGGGGATTTTTAATTCCCAGAGTTAACTTCGTTCTTCTGCTCGCTCTCTTACGCAGGGAAGTCATTCTGTGTTGCAGTCTGACCCTTGGAATGGCAACATCCCCAATTGCCACTCAGCTCTGGCAGGTCTTTATCACCTGGAAGCTCACAGTTTTTTGTTTTTGTTTTTTTTTAACATCAGGTAATACCTACCAGTTGAAAATCACAGGTTGAATTCCTCCACTAAAACAAGTAGCCTGATATCGTAGTCTTGTGAAAGGAAATGGTGATGTCCTTTGGAGAAACGAGAAAGAAATACTGCAAGTGGCAAAAATATGTGAGATTTGGAAATCTGTAAGAGTGAAGGTGTGAGAACGGAAACCCACATCGGTGCTGAGATGCCGTAGGAGAAACTGAGACAGGAGGGGCTTGAATTACAGGGAGCGCAGCAGTGTCGGTACGAGCCAGAGGGTTGACTTCAGAAGAGGTCCAGCATGCACTACTCAGTTTGGCTGGCACGTGGCTCACTAAGAGCATCTAGAACTCATCAAGATCCCGCCGATAAGCTTTTCAGCTGAACTTGAGTAACGTTGATTCTGATTAATGTAAAACGTGAGAGAAATGGCAAGAACTTCTCAACTTCTCAATACTGAGCAAATACTTGCCATTTCTTAAATCCATAGCATTTGGATTATAAATATAGTAGACAACTTTTTCTTTAAAAGTTGTAAATAAGTAATAACTGTCATAGTGTTGAACATGAAGGTATTTTCCAGTGAAACCCTTCCCATACCAGAAACTGCTGTCAATGAGCAAGCGCAGCATTCAGCAGGTGTGCCCTGATGGTGTGCCAGCCGCAGGAGGATACAGGTGCCAGCCCCACTGGGACAGAACAGAGGACGAGCCGTAAGGCAGTTGTTTTCCTGGGGAAAAATTCTGGCAGCTCTGGAGACAGAAATGAGGTGGCTGTGAGTTCTTGGCAAGAGAGCATAGGGTCAGACACAATCCCATCCACCATTGTGTAAGGAACAGAATTAGAGCAACGAAAGGAAAGGGGAAGGGGCAGGGGTGTTAAAGACCATGTAAAGAGTTAAGAATTTCTGAATCACGAATCAATGGGTATAACAAAAAAACCCTCCCTTTTTTTTAAAAAAAGATATGCCTGGGGAGGGAGCCAGAAGAATGGGGAGGGGGTTAAGGGTTCTGAAAATGGTCTGGAGCAGGAGGCAAGTGGGTGTAGGGGTACAAGGGTGAAGCAGCAAGGAGAAGTAACCTCACCTCATGGGGAAGGGAAGTAGAGCTGAGGGAAGTGTGAAGTTCAGATATCTGCTGTGGTTTCTCGAGAGGTACGTGCAGAGATGAATTAGAAAATGCTTGATTCTGGGAGGATCAAATGCGGAGTTGAGTCAGAATGGGAAAGCAACAAAGCAACTTGCAAAAAGAAGCGCAGATGATGGCTTTGCCCCCTGTTGGAAGCAGACCAGAGCAGTTTCCAGCAGCCATGGCAGGGTCGCTTTGGAGTACTGTTCCTGGAAGAAGAGGGCTGGGATGAGGCAGGTCTGTAGGGGCAAGTTTTCTGTGTCCATTGGCTCTGCAGTAATTCTGTGGAGAGCAAGAGAGAAAACGGCAAGCGCCAGCTGAAAGCAGCAGAAGCTGGGAAGTCTTTGTGCCTGGACCTGCATGGAGGTCTGAGGCTGTAGTGCAAGCCTGCTGCTTTCCCCCCAGACCTTTATGAAGAGGAGCTGCCCGATGTACATTCCTCTCCTTCTGAAGGAAAAATCAGATACTTCTTCCAACCTGGACCGACAGAGGAGACGAGGCCTGAGCTGCAGAGCAGGTGGATGTTTGGGGAAGTCATCTGGAAGATTAAATGTATCACAGGAATTTGGGGGGAGAAGCTTGGAGGGCGCGTATGTGGTTTTCTCAGATGTGTTACAACCGCATCTCGTAGAACCTGGGCATCTGAGCAGTGGCTTAGATCACCGATGGTGGAAGTGGCAATGGGGAAAGCCGCTGTGTGTCCTGCTGCTGTAGCTAACACATGCTGCTTTCACCAGTAATGCTGAGCCCTGAGCCACGACTCCTGGACCTGAAAGCTTGTTGGGAGAAGAGTTAATTTGTTGTCAGCTGTATCAACACAAAAACGAGCCTCTTGCAGTACCTTCAGGGCAAGTGCAGGTGTAGCACAGATAAGAAAATGAAGCTGTGCCTCAGCCACCCCTCCCATCCTCCTGGTCACAGAGCGGGCTGACTGCCACCAACCCTGTTACCTCAGTGAGCTGGTGGGGACCTTGGAGACACTAAAACACAGCATGAGTCATAGAATGGTTAGAGATGGATGGGACTTCAAAGATCATCCAGTGCCACCCCCTGCCCTGGGCAGGGACACCTCCCACCAGACCAGGTTGCTCCAAGCCCCCTCCAACCTGGCCTTGAACCCCTTCAGGGAGGGGGCAGCCACAGCTTCTCTGGGCAACCTGGGCCAGGCTCTCACCACCCTCACACCAAAGAATTTCCTCCCCAGATTTCACCTCAATCTCCCCTCTTTCAGTTTAAAGCTGTCCCCCCTCCTCCCATGGCTCCCTCCCTGATCTAGAGTCCCTCCCCATCTCTCCTGGAGCCCCTTGAGGGACTGGAAGGGGCTCTAAGGTCTCCCCGGAGCCTTCTCTTCTCCGGGATGAACAACTGCAGAGGCAAAAGCCTACCGCCTTAGGAAAAAACCCCAACCTTCTATATATATATATATATATACACACACTTTAGGGACCGTCCAGTCTCCTGAGAGTTACAGTTGTACAGAGAGGTACAAAGGAATAAACCATATATATATATAAAAAAATTATTTCTCCCCGGCCTTCAGAGGTGAGGCCGGGCCCGTAGACCCATCCCGCTCCCTCAGGCGCCGGCCCGCGCCTCCCATAACGCCTGCGGGCCGCCTGGCGTCACTTCCCGCGCGGGCGCGGTGGCCGCCGGGAGTTGTAGGCGTGTGGGCGGTGCCCGGCGCGGCGGTTCCGCTTCCCCCTCCGGCTCCTGCTGCCGCCTCCTCGGTGGGTCTTGCCGCCGCCATCGCAGAGGCCGCGCCCGCTCAGCCCCCTCCGTCCCTCGAGGCGGCCCGGTGAGTCCGCTTCCCCCTGCGCCTTCCCTCCTTTCTGGAGGCCGCCGGGCCTGCGGCGGGCGGCGGATCCCTCCCCTGCCCCCGCCGCCTCAGGGAGCTTCCGGCAGTGCGGCCCCGCCGGCCCCGCCGCCTCAGGAAGCCGGGCGGGCCGAGGGCGACCGGCCTCGGCAGGGCGGCGGTGGGGACCGGAGCCCGGCCGCGGTGGGCCCCGCCTCGGCCCGTTCCCGCCCTGGGGGGACTCTCGTAGTCTTTGGGAAATGGGTTAAAGCCTCGTTAACCCCGGGGGGGAGGACCGTCGGTGGGGATATGGCTGGTTATAAATCCTCATAACAAAAAAAAGCTGTTTAAATACCGCAGGGGAACGCGGAGCCCTCCCCGTCCCGTGCAGGCGGTGCAGCGGGTCGGTAAATGCCCAGGTGCCTCCTGCCCGGGCGTCCATGGCCCGTCTCCTTCCACGCCACTTGCAAACTGTTGCTCTTCGTGCCCTTCCCCTGCTCGGTGGTTTTTTTTTTTTTTTTTTCCATTTTCCCTCCCATTTCTGCTTTTTTCTTGCTCCTGTTTTTTTGTATTTACTCTGTCAAAGCCGCGCCGGCCGGTTTCAGTGCTTAACGGTGAGCTGCTCCGGGAGCCTAAAGTTGGCTTCAGCCTCCCGGGTGTGAGCGAGTGCCCAGGGGCTGGTTTGGGAGCAGGGAGTTCATCAGGGTGAGGAGCGACGGTCCCGCTTCGCCGGCAGCCACGATAAACCTGCTCCCGTGCTGCCCTACGGCGGGGGAGGGCAGCCCAGACATTTTAATAATCATCCTTGGACAGCTTGCAATCATAGCAATGTTAGGTGCACCCAAATCTATGGTGTATTGCGGTTTTTTTTTTTTAATCTTATTTCTGCCTTTCTCTGGGTTTGTCTTTTTCGGTTTTTGGTGGGTTTTTTTTATGCTGGAAAAAGCAGGCCTGCTCCTAGGAAAGTCCAGGTTCTACTTTGCAGGATGGAGTGTCCTCACAATGTCAGCCCTGGGGTGCTACCTCCCTAAAAAAAAAAAAAAACAAACGAAAACAGGGGCTAGCTACTTCGTGATTCCGTCTCTTCATTTAGGAGACGGAGGTAATTTAATTCACAGAGATATTGTGGAGGCAGGTTTCGAAATATGTGTGTAGCCAAGTGAACTGTTCCAGTTTTATATTACCAGAGAACTTGCGATTTAGTAATTTCTTTATTACAAACTGAAATAGGAGCAACATAGAAATGTAAAAATGCAACACTTCTGTGTTACAAGTTTTTGAGTAGAATCTTTTAAGATCATAGGAGTACTTTAAAATAAAAAATATCACTGAGTAATGTTTTAGAGGAAGGAAGAGCCTTACTCTGAAGTTCACTGGTTGGTTATTTCAGTTCTTGAGGCCAGAAGAGAAATGCTTGAGAAAGAGTTACTCAGCTCTTCTGTGTTGTCTGAGCTGTAGTATTTGACTCTGCTTTGTGAAGACGTAGGTGTTAAAACAAAAACGTTGGGTGATGATTTGGGGACTAATCCCTCTGTCTCTACACCTTGCACTTTTTAGCAGGGTGCAGTGTGTTTCGGTGTATCCGAGGTGCAGCAGCTTGTCGGAGGCTGATTGACTGGGGTGAAACTGGTACCGAGTTGTAGCTTGGACCTTTGGGGGAGTTTCTTTCTGGAGGCACCTGCTTGTGTTCCCTCTCTGGGCCGGGTGCTGGCGTGGGGGGTGAATGCTTTGACCATGTATGGCAGGTCTAATCTGGTGCCTACTTTAAAATCTAACCTTTTAAAAACTCATGGATGCTTGTGCTGTTTAACTCAGCCTTTCGGTTAGGTTTCAAAGAGATAGTTATTCAAGCACCTTTGTTTTCTAAATAACTTTAGGAGAAGTGTTAAGGGAATTGATGCTGCAGATTTTGTTCTCGTGGTGGTATGAAAAGCCTTAGGGCTCTGAATCTAGGTCTGTGTGTTGTACTAACAAGAGTACAACTTGTTAGTTCTGCTTCAGAGTTCTTATATCAGTCTTGTTTTTTTTTTTTCTTGGTTTTTTTCCCCCCCCTTCTACCTTTTATTTGTTTTCTGCATTAGGAGGTTTCTGAGGTGCTGGGAGCTTCCCTGCGAGTGTTGTGCCAGTATACTCTTGTTTCTCACAGCATGTACATTTATTGACGTGTCTGTGCAGCAGCCACCACAAAGAAAAAGCTATTTGTTCTGCAAACAACCCCTAGTTACAGAGACGCTGTTCTAGATGGCCGGGCCCAGCGATAACACCAGCTGAGATGGAAGTCCTGGGCTCGGGAACTGGGAGGCTGGGCAGAAAGCTTTGAAAGTGAGTCCACTCAGCAAAGCGTCCAGGAGGAGGAGATGGAGGAGGAGGAGAAGGTAGCGGGGGCATGGGGATGGGGAGAGCAAGGCGAAGGAGGGGACTTCAGCAGCCAGGCATTGTGCATCCTAATGAATTCTATTTCTGCTGGAAGTTGGGAAAAGGTGCAACTGAGTTGCCACAAGAAGGTGTTTGTGGCGCTTTCCATTCTTTTTCTAGAAAGGTAGTTTTTGCTATCAGTTCTGCTCTGTTCTTATCAAAGCAGAGGCACTCTCTTGGACTAGGAGAGAGATTCAGAAAGGCTACAACAAGCTCAATTTTTAGTTTTCCAAGGATGCACCTCCTTCCTAAATCTAAATCAAATCTGACTATCTGGCCCAAAACTTTGAGAGCGCTCTGTAATCACACAACAGCCCCCTGGAGAGGTTCCTGTACCTGCTGTGGTAGTAACAGTGTCTGAAGGAGCCTTTCCAGTAAAGTTTAACGTTGCAAACGCTGAGGTTACCACTTCCCCGTTGGGTGCAGCGCTGCTGAAGATAACTCATCGCTCCAAGCGCTTGGGTGCCAACCTCAGCTGCCAGGGTGACTCTCAGGAACAGTACAGTCCTCTTAATGCAGTGCTTGGCCGGGGCTGCATTGATTCTGCTTCTCAGCCAGGTCAATTTGACCAGGGGAGCACCATAGAGGAGGCTGCATCTCCTGCGAGCTGTTGGTATTTGCAGGATTTTATGTTAGAAAAAAATGAGTGTTTTCTCCAGCCTCCTGTTATAGTGTGGCCATAGGACAACGGGGGGCATGGGCCTGTGCAAGGAAGAGGGGAAGCTCTGGGCTCTGACTTGTCCAGTTCTGGGGTCCTCAGTTCAAGAAGAACAGGGAACTGCTGGAGAGGGGACAGCAGAAGGCTACAAAGATGATGAGGGGCCTGGAGCATCTCTCTGATGAGGAGAGGCTGAGGGACTTGGGTCTTTTGAGTCTGGAGAAGAGAAGACTGAGGGGGGATCTGATCAACACCTATAAATACTTACAGGGTGGGTGTCTGGAGGACGGGGCCAGTCTTTTTTCAGTGGTGCCCAGGGACAGGACAAGAGGGAATGGGCACAAACTTGAGCATAAGAAGTTCCACCTGGACATGAGGAGGAACTTCTTTCCTGTGAGGGTGGCAGAGCCCTGGCAGAGGCTGCCCAGGGAGGTGGTGGAGTCTCCTTCTCTGGAGACATTCAAACCCCCCCTGGACACGTTCCTGTGGGACCTGCTCTGGGTGGCCCTGCTCTGGCAGGGGGTTGGACTGGGTGATCTCCAGAGGTCCCTTCCAACCCCATAGCATTCTGTGATTCTGTGGCTGGTGGGAAGGCAGCTCTGCTCGTGTTGGGGAAGGTAGGCAGTAGGTGGGGAAGAAGAAAGGGGTCCAGGACGCTTGCAGAGGGAAAACCCTTGGACAAGGCAGTGGTTTTGAAGGCAGGAGTCGTTTTGAAAACAGTTTCCTTTTAACAAGAAAACACTGCAGCATTCCCTGAAGGCTTAAGGATTCTTACTGTGCTTTGCTGTTTGGAATTAGGGTGTCTTGAGGTTGCTGTCTTGTAAGATTATTTTTTTTAAAATTTTTTTTTTTTTTTTTTAAGAAAGCGCTTATTTGCATTTAAATGCAGATGGCAAGAGGTAGGGGATGTTTCAAGGTGAGAATGGGAGATGTACTATGACCTACCTAACTGGGGCCCAGGCCGTGAGGTGTAGATTGAACTCACCGTTTATATTCAAGCACCGCTCAAGGATCGTGAGATCTCAGAGCATGATTTTACCTAAAGTTGGGCCTTACTTTAATTGGAAAATGCATGTTTTAGTACTTGTATTTTGGCTGATGTAGCGGACAGCATCTGTCATCAAGAGCTGGAAATGCTGGTTTTGGTGCCAGTTCTGTATCTGACTTGAAAGTTTTTTAAGTTGACCATTTTTTGTATTTTCTCAGCTTCTTTCTATTTTCCCAGCTGGGCTTGGGGCTTAATCAGGCTTTGAAAATGTCTCGGCAGGCAGGCAGAGATGGCAATGTTAGGAACATGCCTTAAAATAGACAGGAGTTTCATTTTTGCTGTTTAGATAAATTTTGGGTAATTAGACACACCCTATCTGTGAATTCACAACAGGAATTCCTTGTGCAGGCACAGGCACAAGGCAGAGGTAATGCGAAATTGAGGTTAGACTAGGTGACCTTTTAAGGTCCCTTCCGACCCAAATTATTCTGTGAACTACTGGTGAGGGTGAGGCTTCTTTTTTTTTTTCCTTCAGGCAGGACAAGTGGATTTTGAAATTCTCAAATTGATGTATCCGATCTTTGTTCATAAATTTCAAAAGGCTTTTAAAAAATCTTCGCTTCAGCTGCTAATGATGTCAGCAGTGTTTTAATGAGAACACCTCTCTAGGGAAGCAGAATGTTTTTAAGATTCCTAGAAAGTATTAGGTTGTCTAATGGATAGGCTGTCATTTCCCAAAAGATCTAAGCCCTGGGTTGGTGTAGCTCTGGCAATGACAACTTTGCCCAAAGTTCTCCCCTTAAGCAACACTGGAGGTTGTCCTGGAAGACACAGAGTTACCCGTTGCCAACAACTCTGCTGTATTTCAGTCTTTGGTCAGGGCTGTTGTCTCTGCCAACTAGCAAAAATTGTCTCCTCTCTTTAAAGGAGTGATTTTGGTAAGACAGGTTTGATTCTTCTGAATTCTGTAGTTTCGTTTCAAAGAAAAGCTGCTGTAGGAAGGAACCAACACATTAGGGCAAGGGCGAGTGTGATTTAAAAGTGGTTGGTGTTAAGAAGGAGTTTTAACGTAGTGGGAATCAGATTGAGGGCAGCTGGCAGGTTTATTAAGAGGTGGAAATACACTAAAAAGCCTTTCCAACTCAATGACTACTTTTTTTTCTTCTGAAGTTTTTTGCTTCCTGTTTAGGTGCTGGATTTTTGTAACTGTCAGCGTAGGTGGGCTTTCCTGTAGCTGCTTTAATGAGTGACATTAGAATTTTGCCCAATAATGTGGGGTTTATTTTGGAAACAAATGTAATACTTCCTACTCTAAGTTGGTTTTGTTCTTCATTTTCAATCATTCTAGAACTAATGGAGGTATCTTTTGGATAAGTGAGAGGAAAGGCTGTTTCTAGAAGATGCTTTTGAAAATAACTTTTGAATGTTTAAGCTCTTTTTTCTTGAAAAAGTCTCAGATCAAATGAGAACCTGGAGGAATGAAAATGAGAAAGTATCGTTAACCAAAACCTGCCTACTGTGAAAGGCCACCCTCTTTTAAAGGGATCTTCTGGGGATTTGGGCTTCACTTACCCAGAGGTCAGACAGAACCTGGCTGGGCAGTTTCTTGTGGGAGCTCATGGGAAGGGGCTGAATTGAAAGTTCATTTCAGCTTGTGTATTATCTGCTTTAGGGTGTAAAAAAAATAAATTGTTTAATAAGTTTTGTTAAAGTGATAAACTGTTAAAATTCCAAAACATTACTTAATAGGTAAAAGAGAAGAAATGTAAGAGTCTTTCAACTTTTCTCCTGTTTTAAGCTCTTTGTCCAATCAGGAATTCATAGGACAAGAAATTAAACATTTTTGACCTTTTTGTCAAGATTCAGGATATCAGAATTGAGGAAAAACAATTTCTGGCCCAATTCCAGGTGCTGCTGAAAAGGACCTCTTTGGAATTTAGGAGGTCATGGAAAGGATCTCCCTCTTCTGCTACGGGCAGGTCATGTCAGTCCAGCAGCCCAGAGGCTGCCTAAAATGCCAAAGGGAGGCGAACAGACCGAAGGGAGAGAACAGTCACAGAATCACAGAATGCTATGGGGTTGGAAGGGACCTCTGGAGATCACCCAGTCCAACCCCCTGCCAGAGCAGGGCCACCCAGAGCAGGTCCCACAGGAACGTGTCCAGGGGGGGTTTGAATGTCTCCAGAGAAGGAGACTCCACCACCTCCCTGGGCAGCCTCTGCCAGGGCTCTGCCACCCTCACAGGAAAGAAGTTCCTCCTCATGTTTAGGTGGAACTTCTTATGCTCAAGTTTGTGCCTGTTTCCTCTTGTCCTGTCCCTGGGCACCACTGAAAAAAGACCAGCCCCATCCTCCTGACACCCACCCTTTAAGTATTTACAGGCATTGATCAGATCCCCCCTCAGTCTTCTCTTCTCTAGACTACAAAGACCCAAGTCCCTCAGCCTCTCCTCAGCAGAGAGATGCTCCAGGCCCCTCATCATCTTTGTAGCCCTCTGCTGTCCCCTCTCCAGCAGTTCCCTGTCCTTCTTAAACTGGGGAGCCCAGAACTGGTCCCAGTGCTGCAGATGGGGCCTCCCCAGGGCAGAGCAGAGGGGCAGGATGACCTCCCTCCACCTGCTGCTCACACTCTTCCTGATGCCCCCCAGGATGCCCTTGGCCTTCTTGGCCACAAGGGCCCATTGCTGGCTCATGGCCATCCTGTTGTCCACCAGGACTCCCAGGTCTTTTTCCTCAGAGCTGCTCTCCAGCAGGTCAGCCCCAACCTGATCCACATGGATCTGCAGTCATCCAGGTGGAGTCCCAGCTCCCTGTCCGTAAGCTCTTTTTGGCCCGTTCCCACTGACACGTTGCTCTAAATGCTCTAAACACTGCGGCAGTTTTCCCACTGCTGTGCCATGAGCCTGCCCAGAGATGCCTCCCAGTTCAGCAGTGGCTACTTGGTGGTATAGAAAAATGTGACTTCAGTTTCTCAGCTCGTGTAGTTTGGGAATATGGAACGTGGCGATGGGGGTAGTGTTTGGTGGGCAGCGTTTGGCTCTTAGTTGGGTCTTCTTCTGAACCTGGCTGACTTCCTACCCTGGTAAACCTATATAATAGCACATACAGAGTGTTACTAGAGCTTGGAGCATCTAAAGTTTTAGTGTCTTAAGAATAAATTTGAAAGAAGGATTGGGGAATAAACTGAAAGAATGAAGGATAAGTGAAAATACTACGATGAAATGGCTTTTAATTTGGTTTAACTCATGGTAGTGATGATTTTCATTTGGCTGTTACCACGTTTGCTTGCTTTGGGCCAACAGGTTGGTTGCAGTTCATGAAATACTCGATGTTTTATACTAGTGTGAAATACACTGGGTGTGTGAGGTTTTTACCAGGCTGTCAAGTCCACCTGCTGCGACTAATTTATAGGCGACTGTAAGGGTGCTGCTTGATTTCACACCTGGGTAAGTAGGAGAGTTTGGGTTAGAGGGGGAGAAGAGAGGGTCTTGCTCGCTCCCCTGGTCCCAAACCAGTTGTTTCTACCCGCTCGGGGGAGCAAGCGCTGAGGCACCCCCGAGCCTGTGATGATCTGCTGTGGGGAGCTAAACTGATGGAAAAGGAGTCACTGATGTTAAACTCGGCTTAAAAATGTTGCTCGGTGACCGGACACCGAGGGACTTGTTGGTACTCTCTGTCGAGTTGTGGGTCTGGCTTTCGGCTCCTCCTGCCTCCTTCACCTGTGCTTCTGGGCTTTCGGGAATGTTATTTTGGATCAAACACAAAGTGAACAAATGGCTGTTTATTGGTTGATCCCATCACAGAATCCTAATGCAAAAAAAAAATAGGTTTCTAATGTCGTTAGATGATTTATTACTTTGAAAGAAACCTTTCTAATGTGTGATCTGCAAGCTGTCACCATTACAAAAATGAATTATGTGAAAGGTTTGATTTGCAGAGTGGGGATATTATCAGCAAGCGTGAAATACTTAGCAAAATCTTTTCTGCTTGTCTCCTTGCTTTTTCCACTCAAGGGTGCAAGTGAAGTCTAGTATTTTCAAAGATATTTAGCAACAAGAACAGTTAATTTTAATCCGGTGCTAACATGCCAAGGCTTTTTGATACTAATGTTCAAGCTCACAAAGTAATTCTTTGTGGTAAAGAGAGCTCCGACTGCCGCAGTCAGGAAATCCATGTACCTCCTTCTGTTTTTTGTTTCTGGCATGTGGCAGAGTGTACGGCAGAGTGCTGGGATGAGGACTATTTCCCAGTAACCCAAATATGTGCTGGTGGCGGCGGTGACTCATTGCTTTTGTGAACGCTACTTTTTCTTTCTGGCCCTTCTGGATTTATTTGCAGGGATTTTATATATATATATATTTATATATTACTGTCTTGTGGTGGTGTGTTTTGTTTTGTTTGGGTTTTTTTTTTTAAGAGAGAATTGTTATTGAGATTTTTAGATGTAAGATTATTTTTCCAACAGGTAGCTGTTGGAAACAGAAAATAAAAATTTAAAATAGATCCATACAACTGGTTTGGATGCTTTCTTCACAAGCAGGACTGTGTGTTTTAGGGTGTGATTGTGATGTCTTATTTATTATTAATGATTCCACTGTAAAATATTTTATTTGAGGTGCATAACTCTTGTTCTTCTTGGCTTGTGTGTATGCTGCAAAGACTTCCAGGCTTTTTGCAGCGCAACCAAATGTACTCATGCTTGGTAAAACTGGATCAAGTATTGCTCATGGAAGGAGTTAAGACCCTGCTAAACCTATATAATAGCACATACACTGAGTGTTACTAGATCTTGGAGCATCTGAAGTTTTAGTGTATTAAAAAATAAATTTGAAAGAAGGATTGGGGAATAAAGATGAAATGGTTTTTAATTTGGTTTAATTCATGGTAGTGATGATTTCATTTCTCCAGCAAAACAAAATTTCTATTAACGCTAACAGGATTTGAATGAATTTTTCCCATTCCCTCGTTGCTGCAAAGAGATACTTGTCAGAGACATGGCTGGCACTGACTTTTGTCTTGGAACCCTTCGAGCATGACTCGTTGGGGATCCTCCTTGCCCTGGTATTGAAAATATTTGGAATTTAGTCTTTGGCAGTACTTTTCTACTGGGTCTTATTTGCCTAAATGACTGGTGATGGTTGTATTTTACTTCCTTAGCCCTTCCAAAGCCCACCAGCTGAAGTGACATGCTAGCTTTCTAAATTAAAACTGCATCTTAAAATCTCTTTGTTTTGAGGATCTTGGTCAAGATTGAAAATAGATGTAACTTGTGTTGCCTGGCACGCTCGTTAGTGGGAGTGATTGTGTTCTTATGCTGCTGAAACAGCTTTCTCTTTCTAGCCCTTAACGGTTTTGCCATGTTATCAGATAACTTGTCAGTAATCCTCAACGTTTGGGGTCTTCATTGTCCCTTTCTCTTGTTTATATTTTTAGTTTCCTAAAGGTGGTATGGGTATCGTTAGTGCTTTTCATTTGGCTTCACACATAGTGCCAATGTGCTCGGTCGAGGGTGGATGGTAGCCCATCTTCTAGTGAGCAGTGTGGTGACAGACTGATGGCAAGTGACTGTTCAAAACTGATATTTTGTGGGCTCTCTTTTTGTTGCCAAGTTTAATAGAGATCTTTATCTCTGTTTTACTCTTGTGAAATGGCTTACTGAAATTCGCTTCCTGTTTTCTTAACAGAATTGAAAGGACCTGAGAAAATTTTCCCTTAGATGACAAGCTCTTGGAAAGTTGACCGCTTCTAAAGGTATTATATCAGGGTTAACTGTTTTCCAAAGTTAAAATACTTTTTATGAGAGAAGGATATTTTTTTTGTATTTAAAAAAAAAGTGTTTGAATTTTCGTACTCACAGAATTTGTAAGTCTTCCATGCTGGTTTATTGCAACAAAAAATGTTTTATGCCCTCGTTTGCATGTTTGGACTCACTAGTAGCAGCTAATAGTATTGTAAATTAAAAAGAGGAAGACGTGGTAGCCATAAAACTGGGTCAGGCCGTCGATGTCTCACCCAAGGTACTGACTGCAGTCTCATTCTTGACGGATACCACCTTCGGTGTGAGGGCTTTCTCAAATGGCCTTTTGGAGCTGGGATGTGGCCCAGGACTTGCTTCAGGTGCTGCCTGCAGGACCCTGGTTTTGCAGCACCTCCAGATGTAGTAGAAGACAATCTCAGAGCGGTGCCTGCCTCATAGATCCTTCACCTTCCTGTGATCTAGGGCTCAGCTGGTGCTGAAGATTGAGGTAATGTTATAATGCACGCCTAAGTTCTTGTGTTGATGGCACAGCACGAGCCATGTCTGTCTTCTGTTTTTTCCTAGACGATTGTTATGCATCCCTTGCAATGGAATTAGAGACCCTCAGACAAGGGCCTTGTTTCTTATTTCTATTAAAGTCAGTAGCTTTCTTATCTCTTCTGTTAGAGTCAGTAGCTTAAATGCTATGCATGTATGTGAGGACCTCATGGATGGCAGCCTTCATTTCATGGCTGAGTTTTTGTGTTTTGTAGATGACAGACGTTAGTCTTTGAGGCCTGTTTTATGTGAGTTCGGTTTCATCCTCACAAACATCTTCAGCTTCTTTATAATTGCACAACTGGTGTTGGAGCAAGATAATAAGGTAGAGCGAGGTTTAAGAACTGCATCCTTTTCATTTGTAAATGTCTAAGCCTCGGAAAAATGCATTTTCCGATGCTTTACTCTTGCTCTGTAATATTTCACTGAAACCTTATGATTCTGCCCAGAAGAATTTCATTCATTCTTTATTGACCTGGTACGTAGTTATAATATGTGGAGCTGGAAGGGCTAATTAATTTTAAACTTCTCCAAGTGCTGCAGCATCCTTGCGTAGACAGGGCAGGCCTTGTGGCTCAGCTGTGACAGCTGAAATACTAATGGCATAAAACACCCTGAGGAAGCGCTTTGAATAGGAAGATCACGTTTACAGTTGCTTAACATCTTGTATTAATTGTTAAGCAACCTGAGAGATGCCCGAAGACAACCTGTCACCAGCAACAGCGATCTTTCACATGGTGTTTGCTCTCTCACCTATGCTTCTGTGTTAAACTCCTGTCATAATTTGTACAACAATGTAAATAGGTTTTTGAAGTCTTCTGCAGCTTTCTAAGGTCAATATTATGTTTTGTCAACTGTTTAAATATTATTTTAACTTGACAGCTTCCTTTGGAAGCTCTTCTGCTTCACAGAGTCCTGGTTATCATGTGGTGGTGTAGTTTTCACAGTCCTTTTGTCTATTCAGACAGTAACTCTGTTCTTCATTTTTGTATTTTTGTTTTTTAAAAAGTATTTTATTCTTGAGCTATAAAATATTTTTTTTTGTGGTCCTGGTGCTGCAGCATTCTATATGAACAATTGTATATGGCTAGAAATAATTTGTGTCTAATTCCCCACCACTAAAGCAGGGATAAAATACTAACTTCTCCAAAGTGTGCTAACATAAAGTGGCAGGATGTATTTACATTGTTTGGAAATTTTCATAAATTTGTTTAACAGCTCACAATTGGTGTTTAAACCATTGTACATTTACTTATTTATGCATATATTGATGATTTTTTTATCATACATTTCATTTGTGAGCTGTAAGAAGCATACATAGTAATAATACTAATAATGCATAGCATAGAAGGGCTTGGGTTTTTTAATCTTTTTGGTTTTTTTAATGCTTATTGGCATCCGTAGTTGTCATGTAGGCTGCGCAAAAAATAGTTTCCACATCAGCATATGAGGAATAAAGCTGCGTTGGTTTTTAATTAGGATACAATTTAAATTTTTTTTTTAAAATATATTTTGATTTGTAGCTTGTGCTCCTGGTTCTAGTTGGTTTAGATGAGTTTCTTCAGTATTTTAGATAAATACTTGTTTATGAGAAAGAAGAGTGAGAGTAGTTTTACTAGGTATGACTTAAAAAAGGAAAAAATTAGCTAAAATCCCTCATTCTGACATTGTTGGGTTTTTTTCGGCTCCCTGAAAGACATAGGAGAACATTTCCCCAAATTTTAGGGATTTGCTGCATCAAACCGTACATTAATATGTTGCTTGAATGTGTGCAAATAATTTTCAAGTAGAGAAGCTCTAAGAGCCCGCCAGGCAGAGCGGGCAGTGGCCCAGGAGGAGCTCTGGGTCTCTAAGGCTGGACAAGGGGGCAGTGAGATGGAGTGAGGGCAGGCTGTGTGACAGGACTCGGAAGGCTGTAACTAATGGAGCGGGGTCAAGTTGAGGCCTGTAACCAGTGGTGTCCCCCAGGGGTCAGTACTTGGTCCAGTTTTGTTCAACATAGTCATCGATGACGTGGATGAGGAGACAGTGAATCCTCAGCAAGTTTGCTGATGATACCAAACTGGGAGGGCTGGCTGACACTCCAGAGGGCTGTGCGTGACCTGGACAGGCTGGAGAGCTGGGCAGAGAAGAACCTAATGAGGTTCAACGAGGGCAAGTGTAGGGTCCTGCACCTGGAGAGGAAGAACCCCAGGCACCAATATAGGTTAGGTGTGGACCTGCTGGAAAGCATTCCTGAGGAGAAGGATCTGGGGGTCCTGGTGGACAGTAAACTCTCCATGAGCCAGCAATGTGCCCTTGTGGCCAAGAGGCCAATGGGATCCTGGGCTGCATAGGGAAGAGTGTGGCCAGGAGGTGGAGGGAGGTCATTCTCCCCCTCTGCTCTGCACTGGGGAGGCCACAACTGGAATCCTGTGTCCAATTCTGGGCTCCCCAGTTCAAGAGAGACAGGGAACTGCTGGAGAGAGTCCAGTGTAGGGCAACAAAGATGATGGAGGGATTGGAGCATATCCCTGATGAGGAAAAGCTGAGAGGGCTGGGACTCTTAAGCCTGGAGAAGAGAAGACTGAGGGGAGACCTTACTAATGCTGACAAGGATCTAAAGTAAGTTGGGTCACACCAACCCCATGGATGCTACAGCCTTGGGGCAGAGTGGCTGGAGCTGCCTGGTGGAAAAGGATCTGGGGGTGTTGGTCGACTGTCGGCTGAACATGAGCCAGCAGTGTGCCCAGGTGGCCAAGAAGGCCACCAGCATCCTGGCCTGTGTCAGGAACAGTGTGGTGAGCAGGACTCGAGAGGTGATCATCCCCCTGTACTGGGCACTGGTGAGGCTCCACCTTGAGGGCTGTGTCTAGTTTTGGGCCCCTCACCACAAAAAAGACATTGAGGGGCTGGAGCGGGTCCAGAGAAGGGCAATGGAGCTGGTGAGGGGTCTGGAGAACAAGTCTTGTGAAGAGAGGCTGAGGGAGCTGGGGGTGTTCAGCCTGGAGAAGAGGAGGCTGAGGGGAGACCTTCTCACTCTCTCCAACTCCCTGAAAGGAGGGTGTAGCCAGGGGTGGTTGGCCTCTTCTCCCAAGCAACAGGTGATGGGACAAGAGGAAACGGCCTCAAGTTGTGCCAGGGGAGGTTCAGATTTGATATCAGGAAAAATGTTTCCACAGAAAGGGTTCTTAAGCCTTGGAATGGGCTGCCCAGGGAAAGGGTTGAGGCACCATCCCTGGAGGTGTTCAAAAGGTGAGTTGACATAGTGCTTAGAGACATGGTTTAGTGAGGTGAGGGGGTTTTTTTTGTATGGTTTTCTTTTGTGTTTTCATCAGAGTTAGGTTGATGGTTGGACTAGATGATTTTAAAGGTCCCTTCCAACCTCGACAATTCTATGATTCTATTGTATGATTTGTGCGTACTAGCCGAGCAGAGCCTTCTCAGCTGGCAGCCAGTGAAGTGGCCTGGTGCAGGGGCAGGATGCTGCAGGGAACCCTTCTCAGGTAGAAATCTGAGTGTTCGAAGAAGTCATTGCACTTGTCTCTTGTGGCACAAATGGAATGTAATTCTCCTAGGAAAAATAATCTGTAGTTTTCTGTGTGGTGCTGCTAGAATATGCCTAGAAAATGAGTTGTATCCACCCAAGTCATCTCTGGTTTGGTTGTTCTTTATGGTTCTTTGTTTTTTAAGGACTTCTCACCATGCTCAATGCTTTTTGTATTTACAGATCCCACATTTGTTTTCTCGTAGGCTTTGATCTTTCTGGGTCAAAGTGTGGGTATTGAGAAATAAGCATTTTGAGTATGGGTCTGTTCACGTAGGGGTTTTGGCAGATGGGTGAACCATTCCAGGTGGTTGAGATCACCCGGGCGGCAGGGCTGTAGTGGTGTCCACTGGTGTGTGTGTGGCTGAGAACACTGACTCGGGAGAGGTGGGATTTCCTGCTGTGAGGTTTTGTGCCGGGCTGGTGCTGTTTTCCAGCCCTGCAAGAAGAGTTGAGGGTTTGGCCCCCGGGGCTGCGGAGCTGAGCTTAAGTTCCTGCTGTTGGCTGGCAGTAACTGGGGTTGGAGCAAGCCTTGGCCAGCCACTGGAGAGAAACAGCTATGCCCTGAGTATGAAAAAGATAGCTTTTCTGCAGGGAGCTATTTTCCTCTTCTTTTCCCTTATTATTTAATTTTTTCTGTAGCTGACATTTGACGGCTCTACCCGTGTGATGAGGGAGTGGCGTATCCCTTAATCTTGGATTCTTTCCTTTTTCTTCCCCCTGCCATCCTGGTACACACTGCATGTTTCCTCCTCTCTTTCCAGTTCTCTAATCTGTATGGGTTAGCTGCAGCCTTGTCTAACTGTTGCCCAATAATATTTCCAGAGAAATTCACCCCAAAGAAGTTCTTCCTCAGATTGGAGTGGAACTTCCCATGGTCCAGCTTGTGCCCGTTGCCCCTCGTCCTGTCACTGGGAACCACTGAAAAGA